CCATAGCCTTAAACCCAAGACCCTATTCCGTATCCCAATACCCTTCACCGTAAGCCCTAAACCATAAACCCCGAGCCCTGAAACCCGAATCCTAAACCCACGACCGCTTGACTTAATAAACCACCCGGGAGCTAAGGAGAAGCTGTCCGGCGCTATTGAAGGTAAGCTGTGGGCCGAGTGGGACCTCGAAGGCAGGATTTCGGCTTCCTCAGCAGCATGGGTTCTTGAAAGGGTTCCTTGAGCAGTTTTCTAAAAGGATCTTTAATGGTTTAGGGTTTTAGGAGTCATGGGAGATAGTGACTAGGTTATACGAAAAGAAACTAGGTTAAATGAATAAGTTAACTATTGTTCTCATTACTTGCAAACCCAATCACGATATTTGCAGCTTCACTTGGGTGGTTGTCAAAATTATGGTCCCTTTTTGGGTACCCTAAATAATATGTGCCGTATGAAAATAGGGACCCAAAAAGGGACCAGGTCCCCTGATCCTCCAAGTACGGTTCGGAGCTCTGAAAACTGGATCCGACTCTCTCGCATCCCAAATCCCTGAACCCTGAATAATTTCCACAAACCATGCCTTTCGCCGTAAACTCTAGATCCAGACAAGGGTGTTAGAGCTTAGGGTTTAGGGCTCATGAGTTTGGGTTACTCAGGATAGATGGAGTTTTAGTGAGTGTATAAGGGGCGCGGCTAAGGGTTTCTGGCTTGTGTGTTTGTATGCTTGGAGCTATGCATGTGCATACTAGTTACAGCACAACCTTACACCATGTTAGATTTGGGTTATGGCGTTGTGTCCCCTGGCGGCTCCGAGCGCAACCGCCGACATCAAGTACTTGATTTGGAGATCCCTTCACGCAGTTCGTGAAGCCGGAGCAGAGGATGCTGCAGCGGCGGTTGTTGCTGCTCCCGACATTTTCCGCGATGTCAACTTGTGCAAATCTGCGATTGCCTGTTCGTTGGACATTGCTGTAGAAGCAGTCTGCTCAAGGCATCTCTCTCGCGACGATGAGACACGGTTACTTGCGGAAGAGCTTCTGCGCACTCTACAGCATTGGGCACATGTAAATACTGCGTGGCCCTTCGAAGTGAGTTCTGCGCGGGAGGCTGCAGTTGGCAGCCTGAGAGGGGCGACAGTGCCGTGTCTCACTCCTTCGATGCAGCATTGCCTTCGTGCAGTATTGTTGCAAGATCGCGGTGATCCGCGTGCAGGCGAGCGTGGACATATATTTTTGTATTTCATGTTCCTTGTGTTTTTCCTTCGTTGTCATGTTCCTTTCCTTTGAGTGTGAGTTCAGGAATTCCTTCGTTGTCGTGTTCCTGTCTTTCCAAGCAACATCAGGCAATCTGAACTATGGTTCAGGTTGGATGGAGCATGGGATTGTCCTGAACCCTGAACCTTCAAGCTTTGCCCTGCGACCCTACAAAGTCTGGGTTAATATAGGAACCTTGGGCCTTTGCTAGGGTTCCCCCTATAAACCCTACTACATGAGCCCTGTATTGTACACCCTAAACTCCAACAGCCCTACCCTAAACCCTAAACCCTCATCTCCTAAACCCTATAAACCCTCAACTCCTAAACCTAAACCCTGAACCCTCAACTCCTAAACCCTAAACCCTCATCTCCTAAACCCTATAAACCCTCAACTCCTAAACCTAAACCCTGAACCCTCAACTCCTAAACCCTAAACCCTCAACTCCTAAACCTAAACCCTGAACGGTATAGAGGGTTTAGGGGTTTAGGGGTTTAAGGGTTTAGGGTTTAGGGTATAGAGGGTTTAGGGTTTAGGGGTTTAGGGTTTAGGGTTTAGGGGTTTAGGGTTTAGGGTTTAGGGTTTAGGGTTTAGGGGTTTATGGGTTTAGGGGTTTAGGGGTTTAGGGTTTAGGGTTTAGGGTGCGACGTGAAGTTGCTGAAAGGCCTGGTCAGCGGTTTTGTTGTGGAACCGGCTTGGCTTTGCCCAGTCGGAAGGGGTGCTTCAACCAATACCAGTATATGCTGACATGAGACATTGAGTTTAGTTTAGCGGTTTGGCCTCAAGATGACCCAGTCTTGTGGAGCATCGGTGCAACTGTGAGGCACGTGTTGTCATGCCTATCAGTTTGTTCTTGCCTGAGGCTATTCACCTGTGGCACGGGCAAGTCGCAGCTGTCTTTGAAAACGGTTCGTACCGGAAGCCAGTGCACTCAAAACCAAAGGCCCTCGGAAATACAGGTCTCGAAATCGCAAGCAGACTCGCAAACCTGCTAGATCTACTTTTGAAGAATCTTTACCCAGACCCCCGGGAGGCTCCAGAAAGTCGATCCCTTCATGGGGGTTCCTATAAACTACCCTTAGTAGTATAGGGCCCCAAATTAAGAGATCTACTTTCCAGATCATCCCGGGGGTCTGGGTATTTGCCCTTCATTTTCAGAACATCACTCTTAGCAACATCTTAGATTAAATACAAGTCCCATCGCAACACAAAAAGACTCCGAGCAAACCCCCTGAACCCTGAACCGTAAACCCCTGAACAAAAATCCCTGGAAGCCCAAATCCTTAAAAAGCCTAAAGCCCTCAACCCGAACGCCAAAATGCCCTAACACCTTCCCCCCTAAACCCTTGACCCTTGAAGCCCAACAGAGGTCACTTAAAGGAACCCGTTAGAGGAACCGCCCTAAAACCCTGAAGCCCTAAACCCAAAAAACCCTAAAACCCTAAACCCTTAAACCCTTAAACCCTTCAACCCTTAAACCCTAAGCCCTAAACCCGAAGCCCTAAGCCCTAAACCCCAAACCCCCAAAACCCAAAGCAGGGACCGGACAGATCAGCCGGGAAGCCTTCGAAGATCCCTCCAGGGGAATGCTCCAGCCAAGAGCTGACTTGAAGGGGTCCTTAAAGGGTTCCTTAGGGTTTAGGGTTTAGGGTTTAGAGTTTAGGGTTTAGGGTTTAGGGTTTAAAGAGGTCTTTAAAGGGGTCCTTAAACTAGGACCTAGAGTAGGGCCTTATTCCCTTTTTAATGGTTCGGGTTTCCTTCTCAGCCCCTTTGAACCAAAAAGGTCACCCTTTCTATTCCTAGGTTACTCTTGGGTCTTTAAAGGGGTCCTTAAAGGGTTCCTTGAAGGGTTCCTTAGAGGGCTCCTTAAAGAGTTCCTTCCTTGAAGGGTTCTATAAGGGATCTCTAGGGGTGGTATTAGGGCTTTATCTTTTGAAGGTTCGCTTAAAGGGTTCCTTAAAGGGTTCTTAAAGGGTTCTATTTTGGGGTCTAAGGGATCTATAAGGGAGCTTGAGGGTTCAGGGAGCTTTAGGGTACAGGGTTCGCAGTTGAGGGGTTGATGGTTTACTTAACTGGGTTCTTGTTAAAGAACTAAATTTAAGTTACCATAATAAGGAAACCCTATTATTTACGATAGATCCCTATTATGGTAACTTAAATTAAGTTCCTTAACAAGAACCCAGTTAAAGGATTATGGGCTTTAGTAATTTGGGTTATAAGTTATAAGTTAGGGTGACTACAGTTATAATCACTTGCATCCCCAATTAAGGTACTTATAGCCCTACTTACTTACTTACTGAGTCCAATGATCCTCGAAGTAGACCCTAAACCCTACACCCTAAAAAACCAATACTATTCTGGAGGTTCCTTTTTCTAAATATTTTAGCAGGGCCCCAAACCCCAAACAAACTAAACAACATTTCCTTATAATTTAGGGTGCTATGTAAGGGCCCCCTTTTTTCTGACACTCCCATATAGGTGTTCTTTTAATGTGCGCCAAAACCTTGCTCTGATAAATACGAAATCGCTCTGCGGACCTACTTGGGGGTTCATGGGACTGAGTAACTAGGGTTATAGGTACCTTACTTGGGGTCATAAGTAGTTATAACTGTAGTTACCATACTTATAGTTGACCCCTACGACTAAGTCCCATGATCCTTTACTGTAAGTATAGTTCAAGAGCCCTTTCCCTATCGACGGAACTCCGAAGAACTTGTCCAAAATTCATCGAAGCGTATGACACAGACTCGAAGCCCTAAGCCCCAAACCCCAAGCCCTTGAGAGCTAAACCCCACTGTAAACCCTACTTGAAGGATCATCGGACTTAGTAATTGGGGTTATAATTAAGGTAGCTACAGCTATAATTACTTATAACCCCAATTAAAGTACTTATAAATCTACTTACTAGGTGCCATGATCCTCCAAGTAAACCTTGATGAAGGGGCTACTCAGTCGCGGGTGTCCCCCGAGGTTCGTTCTCTACAGCCTGCCCTCCTTGAAGAGGGAGGCACAGAGCGCCAGTTTACTTTAGGGTTTAGGGTTTGGGGTTTAGGGGTTTAGGGTTTAGGGTCTAGGGTTTAGGGCTCAGGGCTTCGGGCAGAGACAGAGAAAGGGAGAGCTTGTGTGGAGTTTAGTTTGCAATGACCTGGAGCAAGTCTTACCTTTGGTTAGTAGGGAATGGAAGAATGGTAGTAGTAGTAGTAGTAGTAGTAGTAGTAGTCGTAGTAGTCGTAGTGGTCGTTGTGAAAATGATAGCCCGGACCTGCCCCTAAACCCTATGAACCCCTTGTGGAAAGTAGGCCCCCGGCCTCTGAATGCTGAAAGGTCTTCCCCGAAGACGTGTCGAATGTTGAAGCCTGCCCACAGGCTGAAACGAACTCTGAAAGGAACCCCGTCCTCAGAAGTTGTAGCCCTGACCCTGTCAGCTGATTTCTCAAGCACGACCGCAACCCTCCCTCCTCGGTGCTGCGAAAGGCGAGGCACACAAGACAGCTGTTCCAGAAACCTGCTTCACAAGTGTCGGTTTAACACTCGTCAAAAATTATTTTCTGAGCTCAAGTATTCATATTCTGAGCAGGCTTCTGCGAATCCTGCGTCTGGGCGTCACGTAACCACTTCAGCGATTGTCTTTGACCCGCCCTATTCCGAAGTACATCGCCCTCATCGAATAGAGCATAACTACCCCCTAAGAGCACCTGTCTTAGAGTAGCCCCATCCATAACCTTTGTTAGACAATCCGCTAGCATAGCCTTAGAGTGCACCCAGCGCATAGCGCAGTTCTCTTTCAGACGCTCCCTCAGAAGAAGACACTCTAACTGAGTCCGAAGTTCAGAGCAAGCAGGCACAGCAGTCTTAGTAGCAATATCGTATGCACTCTTGCAGTCCGTGACCAAGGACGACTTCGGAGCCCGCTCTAAAACGAGTTCCGGGTTGGCCAGATCAATGCTTGGGTCCTTCATCCACTCCCACAGTAACCGGAGCCAGGACATGCGATCTATCGAGTTACATAGGGCAACTACCTCTGCACTGAGAGTACTCCGAACCACCCTAGCTATCTTCTTACTGGACCAAGCAACTGGAACAACCACGGCTTGTTCATTCTGAAGCATGCGCCAATCCGTACTGATCACGAGTGTCCCCTGATACGAGTTGTTATCCTTCGAAGTAGCAAAAGAAGCATCAGAAAAAGTGCAGAACGTTACATGCTCCTCGGGAATCGGAACTATCATGATGGACACGGGATGCGTTTTGGCTTCATGCAAGACTCGATTGGCCTCGATTAAGTGCCTGACCTCCGCCTTCGGAATTCTAGACTGTAGATAGCCTACCTTGGCGGCTAAGTCCGGACGAGTATGAACGGCAGCATACTGAAGGCTACCGTTAATTCGGCGGAGTTCATGCACTTCGCTGGGATTGAGCTTGGCCGTGGGGTCTTGTCGACGACTACGGGAAATCTGAATGGGTTCAATCTTTTCAACGTACCTCACCTGGTCCATCTCAATGCTCCCATCATCCCACTGCTTAAACCGAATGCCGGTGAACGTAAAATCTCCCTCCTCGTAAGACCCAAAAGAGTAGATATCTCTGAGCTGTTGGATCACCTTTGAAAAATATTGGTCACCACCACCAATACCGTCGTCTACATGAACCCCTAGTACGCCGTGAACCTTCGGTGATCCATCACCCTGTCGCGACACGAGGCTGAAGGTGCAGGCGTCGAACGGACACTGCACAAACCCTAGACTCTCCAGCGTCTGCTTCAGGGTCTGAAACCAGAGGAAAGGAGCATCCACCCTGCCATAAGCACCCCCATCTAGCTGACACTGTTCGCCCTTCCGCATTCCCAAAGCCTGCTTCAGTTCCTCAGGCGGAATAATCCCTAATTTCCTACCATCTCCCTTTCCTTGCAGAAACGCTGTGGAAATGTCGAAATTAATCAACGTCCATCGCTGGGAAGCCACCTTTTGGAGCAACAGTTGGCGTGCATCCTTCCCTAAAGTTGGAGCGTCGTTGGGTATCTCTGCTAAACCGGGATCCTCAAACCCTAGAACTACCAGCCTAGCTTTGGCCCTCTTGGGCCCTCCTTCTTTTTCCGGTGGCTTCCACGTGAGGATCCATCGGCAACGCATGAGCTGGGAATCATCAAGCGTCCCTGCGGCAACCCTACGAACCGTCCTATGATCAAGCCATGCACCAACCTCCTTACTCTTAGCCCCTTCAAACTGCTGCCGCTCTGTGGGACTGAGGTCCTTCAAACGAACCTCCACGCGTTTCTTTTTCTCAGCGGTGGCTAGCAATACATACTGCAAAGATTGCTCAGGAGTTGGAAGGTTTTCAAACGGAACGCTCGTTTCATGGACCTGCAATTCCCATGCCTGACTTCCAGTAGGATGCACCAGAAAACTTTCGGCATCCCCGAAAAGAAGGTCATCGTCTTCATCGTCGGGAACGGGTATGTCATGAGGCTCCATCGTAGCATCCGGAACCTCTGAGACTACTGGGGAGACCTCCATTTCAGGTTGCTCTGGAACACCCATGGTGGCATCCCCAGGTGGTAAAGCTACTTCAACAGGCAAGTCCGTGATGGGAGTCAGGTCGGACGCGTTTGGAGGACTACTTTCGGGAACCTCTCCTTGAACCTCTACGTCTTCCCTACTGGGTAAAACCCCTGTGCCCACTAGATCTACTACGTGACTGGTTGACGGTCTGGTAGGTTGTTGCGGCTGCTGACTTACGGAATGCCACTCTCTCAAAGAAGCTGGGCGAAGTTGTTCGGGTGACGCCCGGACCAGGAAACCACTATGACTGAGATAAACAATACGATTGTCCGCACACACTACTTGCGCTGGTCCGTGCCATCGCCCCTTTTCGCCTCGGTTCTGGCTCCCGTTCTTCTGCCGGCGCCAATAGCACACCCAGTCTCCAGGATCAAACTTTTGACATGCCGGTCGTGACCTACTGAGAAGCGCCCTCCGATACGCATTGTCGTTATCAACCCTGACAAAGGCTACGCGAGCATCCTCTCTCCGCTGCAAGGCCTTTCTAAACGATACCCCTTCTGGAAGACTACTGGCTGCTAATGTTTGCGTCGCGGCATTGTCATCGGCGATTAACGAAGCTGGCAAGCGTGACATCTTCCCAAACACTAACTGTTCCGGCGTATACCCTTTGACCCTGCTCAAAGAGTTCTTCGCATGGACTGCTGCCCTTAAACACAACCGAAACTCCGACTCATCAGTGATTGGTGTTTGGGAGTCCATGCGAGAGAGCATGTTCTTGAGTAGCTTGCCATGCTGTTCCGTCCGGCCGATTTGCCAGTGAGACTCTGCGGCGCAAATCCGATTGCAAATGCCCTCTCTCTGCATAAACTCTCTCCACTCCTCTCCCGTGTACTCTCCCGCTGGGTCACAATACAACAGTTGACTAGGGCCAGCCCATTTGAGCCACATGTCCATGAGTGCGGAAAACTGTTCGCGCGAAGTTCGGCCTGCCGAAGTGGCCTGTTGAAACAGCGTGCCTTCATCAAGAACATGGGTAAACATGTATGTCTTCCCGGCAGAGCTGGTCCAATAGGCCACGTCGATGCCTATGACATCGCCGAAATCAAGATCTTGATGAATGTGGCTGGGCCTTGCTAACTTTGGAGCCGTGGTTTCAAAACAGACATCACAGCAGAAATCCCTAGCCGCCCTAATGATCTTTGGCTCAGCCTTCCGCTCACCTAAGAACTTGACGAAAGTCTCAGTGCTTGGATGGCCCAGATTGTTATGAAGCCTCCTGAGTTCCCGTTTCTCGGATTCAGACAATGAAAAATAACCCGGCCCATGCCGTGGAACACTCTTTGGGGGACCAAAAGGGGCTACATCAACAGGCATATGAGTTCCGAGATTGGGCTCACTCTGAGGCTCAGCTTCGAAATCTGGGGCTGCACCCGCGGTCACATCAGAAGGCGGTGGCTGCAGCACTCGCGACTCTCGCGGAGCCCCAAACACAGTGAGACTGATCCTCGCTGGAGTTCCTTTCCGATTCTGTTTGTACTTAGGTAAGCTAACCCAATGTTCCTCACCATCAACCTGAATATCCCCGGTACCCCTCACCACTACAACCGTAAATCTAATAGGAATATCCTCATTGGATCGTCCCTCGGCATACCACTTAGCATTCGGAAGCTGATACCGGCAGGTGCCACGACCTGCGACCACATGCCGCACTTCAAATGGCACTAGGGCTTGAATCTTATCCACCGTTGAACTACCAACTTCAAAAACCTTTCGGGCCCTACGCGGTACTTCAGGACTACAGTGCGCAAGAACCTCTTTCCAGCCCTCCTGTCCACTAGAAGATGCATCGGACGAAGTCGTGGAGTCTGGCGGCGGTGGAGTTTTCTGCCACAACCGTCGGCGCTTCAACACTTGTTGAGTCGCAGCTCTAGCACTACCAGCACTTTGATTCGAATCAGGGTTCTCAGGCGAGCTGCGCTTAAGGTCCTCCCCTACCAACAGCTCTAGCATATATAGAGGCAACCCCTTGTCACTGATGAGTGCCTGTGCTGCCAGTGCTGCCAGTCGGCTGTTGTGGCAGTGCTTTCGTGGTGTCGGTGTGACGTGGTTGCTGGAGCTTCCTCGGTGCGAATTCTCCTCCGAAACTTGTCGGGTATCCACCGCATTAAACATGGTTCGGGATGTGGTGTAGACATAGGACACCTGCTGGAGAAAGTTATTACCAGGAGGTACCCGGCAGCCTGAAAGCTCCGGCAGCGAATGGAATGCACACAACATCCCCTCATGAATCTCCTGAAGCTCGGCACTCGGCTCCACAAAGAAATCATGGTCTCCCCTAATATGCAGATGCCGTCCTTGATGTAGTTGATGATGATAAAGGTCAGAAAGCAACCTGGGAGACCACCATTTCCTTGTATTCTTGCCGCTGGGACAATTGATCCAAAGGTGACGAGGCTCATACATGTGGATCCAATTCCACAACTTCTTTTCAGTCGGCTCCTTCCGAGCAATTGCCCTCCCTTTGTGCCGGCATACTTCCTTAGAGACCTGGTCACCGCTGGTAGTAATCTCCAAGACATCTAGTCCTGGAAGTCGATATCGTGAAAAGGCAACCGGTTCCTTCGTCAACGCGGATGAAGTGAGTTGCATCTCTATGTGGAGTATACATTCATCAATTTGTTTACAAAGGTGAGCGACCCCGGCTGCTACCTCACAAGACGGCTTGAGACCACCAGTCTCACTCGACTCACTCACTGACGATCCGTGATCGCCGGGTCCGGCGTCGCATCGAACTGCTCGAGGTGCTCGAGCTCCCTCTGCAGGAGCGCCTTCCGGGTCATGATGTCGAGCTTCTGATCGGCCGTCAACTCCGCCTTGATCGGCGACGGCCCGGTGCTGGGCGCTCCCCTCTTGTTGGCAACTGCGGTCACCTCCTGGCTTGACGCTGCACTCGCCAAGCTTGAGGCGGTCACCGGGGCACCAATCTCCGAACTTGCCGCGGTCACCGGGGCACAAATCCTCCACTCCGAGAACTCGCCCCCCTCGGTGTCCACCGGTCGCATCCGGCCCTCCGTCTTGTAGCCCTTGGCTCTGCCCTTGCTGGCTTTTGGACCCGGACCGTGACTCGTGGTTGGCTTCTTGGCATCCGTATTGATCTGGTCCTGGGCCGCCTGAGCCATCCCCTTCAATCGTGCCAGGCTGTAGTTCTTGAACGACAGCGCCCATGACGACGTCAGAGAGGTCTTCCGAGCCATGAGAATGGCATACGTCAGATCGTTGCTGAATACTTCGTTGTGTGTCTTGTGCTTGTGCTTGCCCTGTGGCAGCACAACTTCCCCCCATTGGCGAAGCGTCGAGATGTGTGGTGGCTTGACATATTGAACCGTCAAGTACTGGTCGATCGCCAGGTGCTCCTCGGAAAGATCGTGATCGTCCTCCCCCGATAAAGGCTGGTCCAGCTCCTCTGGGAGCTGATCCACCACTTCCTTGATCTTCTTGACTTTCGCCGACGGCATGTATCCTGGATGCTGCTGTCGTGGGGTGAGCTCCGCAAAAGTGTTGATCCACTGGTGGCTGTGGTAAGAGTGTTCTGTCGATGCTGTGTTGCTGTGGCAGGCTGCCGTCTGCATGCAAGATGGGCGCCACGTTCCCTAGCAACAGTTGCGTGAGATCTACCAGTGACAGGCCTCTTTCATCCCTTCTAAGCTCTACCGTTCGGCCACCTACTTCTAACACACCCCTGCGAACATGGACTACCGCATCTACGTCGTACAATAGCCGGTTAGAAATAAGTAGTGGAGTGTCGCCTGGTACTACTTCGACTCGAATCCAAGTGTCTTCTGCAGTCGGGAGAAGCAGAGCATGTTTTGCAGTCAGCGTGCCACTGTTGCCGAAACGGAATGTCACATCTGACCGTGCCTTGCGCACCCTATCACGACACTGACTGGGAAGCCCTTGCAAAATGTTGTTGACCCGACGGCTCCCTACAACAGTCCGGCTAGCACCTGTATCAAGGACACCCTCCGCACCATGAGTAACAACCAGAGCAACCGGGTCTTCAAACGTGTACGGCTTCCCATGCTGCAAAACTTCCCCGCAAGAGCCTTGCTCACTGTCCCGACTCACAGAAGCAAGTGCCTGGTCTTGTCCCAGGCCGGTCAGCCGCGTGGCTGTCTGTCTAGCTGTCCTGTCAGGCATTAACAAACGACATGCAAGAGCATTAATAAAATCTGGACTTTTCGGCACCTTAGGTGAGAAAACCGCCAGACACATCTGCTCTTCTGACTGAATTCGATTCTCCCTCGCTGCGGTTCTTATCGGTATCTGAGCCTCATCTCCGCGGTTCTCGTCGAAGTCCTCATCACCATCGGTCGCGAAGTAGAGCTCGGCATCCTCGGGCAAGGAGTGGAGAACCTCGGTCGAGGAGAGGTGGAGGTTTTCGGTCTGGGAGTACAAGGTCACCTCCTTCTTGTTTCCTTCATCACGAGCCTGGGGGCATTCTCGCTTCCAGTGACCCTTCTTTCCGCACAGCTTGCAGTTGCTCGAAGCAATGCGTTCTGCTAAGCTGCGGCGTCGACCACCATCGAAGGCACTTCCCTTCTGCTGACGCGTCCCGCTCTTGCTTTTTCCGCGGCCTTTTCCACCCACGGGAAAATATCCGCGGTTGCGAGCTTTCTCCCTCAAACGCTGGCGAGCTTCTTGGTAAGTAGCGAAAACAGGAGCTAGGGATGACTCCTGCACTGCATCCACGATGTGGTCCTCAAACTCCGCGATGTAGATGGCATCCTCGTCGTTCTGCTCCATGAAAAAGGCCACGATCTCCTCATCGCTCGGCTCGCTCTCTGGCACCACGGCCACGTGAACCTCATCAATCCCGTCATCTTCGGCCAGGTTGATGTCATACACTTTGTTTCGTTCTTGGCCGCGAGCACCTGCAGTAGCCGCACCACGATTTTGAAGCTCCCCAAAGAACCGGGACCCGAGGAGGCGCACTGCCTTCACAGTCCCTGCGTAGGTCAAGTCGCCACCCGCTTCCACGATGACCTTCCGTTTGTCCTCAGGGCTCAACATGGAGTGCCGCAGTAGCACATATGCTCTGACCTCCTCCAGCTGAACGCTGCGAGAGATCAACTCTTCGAAATGAGCATCATGCCGAGCAACATACGAGTCGTTTGATTCATCACTCTTCTGCTGGGTCTGGAAGATCGCCTGCTCAAAGTAAAAGTACTTGTCTTCCACCGTTGTACGCCCCCACGCACCACCCAGCTTTTCCACGAGGATTTTCACACCATCTTTGCTCTTGAGCTTGTCGGCTGGGATCCGGCTCACCTTCTGAAAGGCAGACCCTTCGACCATTAGAGCTGCTCTGGGACCAAGCAAGTGAATGTGCTCATCTGGCCACAGATCCCTAATGAACTGTAATCTTTTTGTGTACTCATCAACGTTCGTACTTCCCGGCGTGAACTTAGGAATCTGCTGCCAGGGGAGGTTGCTCAGCGTTCCACCGGCTGAACTGCCTGCTGCTTCCGTCCCTTCACTAGCCATGGCTCGACGATTCTGGACCTACTCTCTCGGATCTAAAATCCCCTGTTTACACAGTGTACCCCTACACTATGACAGGCCGGGCTCCGCTACCAATGTGAAAATGATAGCCCGGACCTGCCCCTAAACCCTATAACCCCCTTGTGGAAAGTAGGCCCCCGGCCTCTGAATGCTGAAAGGTCTTCCCCGAAGACGTGTCGAATGTTGAAGCCTGCCCACAGGCTGAAACGAACTCTGAAAGGAACCCCGTCCTCAGAAGTTGTAGCCCTGACCCTGTCAGCTGATTTCTCAAGCACGACCGCAACCCTCCCTCCTCGGTGCTGCGAAAGGCGAGGCACACAAGACAGCTGTTCCAGAAACCTGCTTCACAAGTGTCGGTTTAACAGGTCGTAGTGGTAGTCGTAGTAGTCGTAGTAGTAGTAGTAGTAGCAGTAGTAGTAGTAGTAGTAGTTATAATTCTACCCCATTCCTCCATGCCCTTCTATCCTAAACCCTAAACCCTACTACCCTACACCCTAAACCTCCATTCCCTACTAAGCAAAGGGAGCAAGTTTCATCTGCTCAGTCCCCAGCACCACCGACCATGGGGTTCCGGTCATGGTAGTACCCTAAAGCCCTAAACCCTAAAACCCCGCAAATTTTCGTCATGGGCAGTCGAACTCTTGGGTTCAAGGCTTCGTCTCTTAGGCGAAGCTTGAGCTCCTCACGGTCGCATGGCTCCTTCGATCCGGCTGGTCTCTGAGAATCCTCGAATCTGGGTCACGGATGCTTGGCATAGCAGTAGTAGAGCCTAAACCCTAAAACCTAAACCTACGGTTGATGATATAAACCCTGCATTTCCCATAATAAGGAATATCACATAATTTCCACAGTTTAGGGTCTTTAAGGTAATGCAGGATTCATATCATCAACAGTAGAAGAGTGAGGGAACCTTTAAGCCCTGAGCATTTTTTGTGTGGTACTGTAATCCGAATCCCAAAGATTAGCCTTTAGAAGCCCAAAAGTTGGAAACCCCAGAGCCTCCATCCTTATCCCAGCACTATTTGGCCTTAATCCAGTTTCCAACTCTATGGGGTTTACTGTACCCTATAGTTGCCCCCAGGGTGCTGGACAAGTCAGGATGAAAGGAGGGACCCTTAATAAGGACCCCTAGGTATATACCCTTGATATAGCTATTATATCCCATTATACAGCCCATTATAGGGTAGGGGTCCCCCTTAAAGGTGCCCCCTTTTACCCTAAACCCTAAACCCTAAACCCTAAACCCTAAACCCTAAACCCTAAACCCTAAACCCTTTTTCCCTTTGAGACAAGTAAGGATGACAGTGTCTCAACCGAGTTCCTTGAGTCGGTAGACGAGGCTTTCAAGTCTGAGAACAGGAATCCTGGGTTTGGAGTTTAGGGGTTTACTTCGGTTTAGGGTTTAGGAGTTTAGGGTTTAAGGTTTAGGGTTTAGGGGTTTACTTAGGTTTAGGGTTTAGGGTTTGGAGTACCATACTTGAGTACTTTTTTGGTACCTGTTCCGTAAAGGAACCATTATGACATAAAAGTCCATACCTTTGTCATAGTTGGGTAACATTTACATTTTTATGTGTACTTAAACCCAATACGGGATAGCGATTTAAATATTTTTAATCCTATCCCAACCATGGACTAGGAACGTCGTGGAGAAGCACAGTGGCCGAAAGATCGTGGCACGCAACATTGACTTCGAGAAGGATGACTTGTGGCAGGACTTGGAGCTTGAGGATCAAGCCTTCGTAGGTGGAATGCTCGGCTTAAAGCGAAGCATTCCAAAATTATGTGTTGACACACTGTGAACGTAGGCAAACATGTTGTCAGCTTGCTGATTTGACGCTCATACATCAAGCTTTGCTCCCTTGCCACTTCTCTCGGAGAGGATGCAGTTTCAAATCGTGGTGATGGTAGCAGTGATGCTGCCGGCACGTGCTGCATTTTGTGGTATGTTGTTGCGGGGGTGGCGGCAGCAGTTGTGGTGGCTGGTTGATCGTGTTGTCATCCTTGTCGTCATTGTTTGATGTGTGTTTTGGTTTCTTCGTTTCCCTAAATCCCAAACCCCTGAACCCTAAACCCTACACATCCCTACACCCCTAAACCCTAAACTCTAGTCCCTAAACCCCAAACTCTAAGCTCGCTTTGTGATGTTCATTGCTTCGTGTCCTCTTTGAGGAGCTGTTTGAAAGGATCTCGGACATCTGTGGCTTAGAAGGTGCCTGGGTTCTGGAATACGATACTTTAAAACTTTTCTTGTGGTAACTGGTTTCTAAGCTCTAAACCCTAACACTATGAATAAAGATTGTTTTTTCTCCTTGGTTACTTCGAACGAATCCCAGGTGCCGTACCGGGGCACCGCAACTTCATGGTGACCGAAGTGTATGGCAGTGGCCAAGATGCTCATGTTGTTCCTGGGTCGGCCTTTGGGATAGGGTTTAGGGTTTAGGGGTTTTGGGTTTAGGGTTTACGGTTGAGGGTCTTTCTATATTTCCCCTATTGGTCTGAGGAGGATCTTAATCCCCCAAGCCCTAAGACCCTGCACCGCTAAGCCCCTAACCCTAGATGCTAAACCTCTAAACCAACCCCCTAACACCCTTAACCCTCCTATTATCACGCCAAGGTTGCTGATGTACAAAACGCTAAACCCTGAACCCTAAACTCGGAGACTCCAATGCCACTGAGTTAAAGGATATCCCTTAAATAATAGTAGGGTCTCCACTATGATTTAAGGAATATTCCTCGATTTAAAGATATTTTGGAGTTTCTCGGAACCTATGATCACGCCAATGTGGATGATGTACCCCCAAACCCTAAACCAATGCTAACCCTGAACCCTAACCCCTAAACTTTGAACGCTAATCCCTAAACCCTCGAAGATCCGCCAAAGTCTAGCTGGTTAGGATACCTTTACAAGAAAGCCCTCTTAGGATCACGCCAATGTGGATGATGTACCCCAAACCCTAAACCAATGCTAACCCCCAAACTTTGAACCCCAATCCCTAAACCCTCTAAGATCCCTTTTAGGATCACGCCAACGTGGATGATGTCGCTTCTGGGGATCCCATCGATTTCTTAGACATGGCGAGGCAAAGCCCCTCGTGTTCGGACCCACGGAGACTGGGCCGTGTTCAGCGGTCTAGGGTTTAGGGTTCAGGGTTTAGGGTTTGGGGTTTACGGCTGATCAATTTTTTACAGTGATTAAGACAATAACAATAACAACAGTAATGATAATGAAAGTAATGACAATAACAATAATTGACTCTCATTATTACTGATTATTAAGAACTAGAGTTGTATCTTAATATGTTCAAAACCGCCTTCAAGAGCAAGCCAGGAGAGTCGTCCCAACCATCTCCATCATCTTGTATTTCAACTCTGTCGGAGGAATTCGATTTCCGTATGCCGACGGAATGCAAACAATTGCGGGCAAGCGCGGGCGAATGATCTTCTTCGAGAACTATAAAGATGAGGCGAGGCCATTGCACGCGACATCGGCCACGCACTACGGCATCTACTTTGAGCAAGTGCCGAAACGCCTTCTAGTCATGGGTGTTTTGGCCAACAAGACGCCTTCCATGGACAGAAGTGCAGAGCCTACCAAAGGGTTGATCTACTGTGCTGGTACAGAACGGGACCCTCTCTTCCACGACAACCCTTCGTACCTTTGTCATAGTTGGATAGCATTTTAAATGTCTGACTCTATGGGTACTTAAACCCAAGAAGGAATATCAATTATACATGTAACTTTTTGAATACTGCCCCAAGCATGGCCTAGGTACGACACGTACAAAAGGAACGGGCAGGTCTTCGTGGCTCAAAAGCCTGACTTCATCGTTTCGCTGGAGGTGAGTTCCTCGAACGGCGATGTCGCAGTCTTGGGGCGAAACCTTGCCGGTGAAGAGGTCTTCAAGAAGCAGTGCAGCAAGGACACGAGCTTGAAATCTATCATGGATGACGTCAGGGTAAAGGTGGATCCTGACAACGCCCGCAACGTGGTTCTGTGCCGAATGGATGGGCAACTCTTGACTGAAGAGCACATGAACCAGAAACTTGCTGAGTGCTTCAAGGACCTCATGGAGACTGAAAGCCGCATGACAGCCTCAACATGCTTTGGACTCTGTGGGTCATCAGCCAAGCCGTAGCTCGCAGACAAGTAGACCCTACAAATCCCCAGGGCTTGCAGCGAAAGATCTGCAGGACCGGTTGGGTTCAAAGATTTACCTTGTGATACAGCTTTGTCTGGTCTCGGCGATAAAATCAGGAAAAAATCATGGCTCGGCCATGAATCAACACGCGTTTGTGGAACGCTTCTGTTGCTCCGACAGCAGGTCTTCTGTGGCCCAGGGGCCTGAATATTGTGTTATAGTTTTCGCTTGGCGTCCAGATATAGTTTGCACTACAGTACTTGCCAATGCACTTGTCAATGCTATGGCTAGTGTATCTTTTGCAATAGTATTCCCCAGAAAGTCCTGGTATAATGATATCACAATATCTTCCAACACCATATCTACAGTATAGTTTTTAACATTATTCACATGTTAGTGTCTGTGTAATCATGCTACAATGTCTTCCAGAAGCCGTTTAATCCTACAGCCTACCTCACTTAAAGGATCGTTGGGCTTAGTAATTGGGTTATAATGGTTATAAGTAAGGTAACTCCAGCTAAAATGACTAAATTAAGGTATTCATAACCTACTTACTAAGTCCCATGATCCTCCAAACACCCTTCTGGATCCTCATTGTACCCGTAAATGAGCCTGGCATTCTCATCCTCCAGGCCCTATTCAGAAACCTTAAACCCGAAACACTAAACCTTGCAACCTTAAAAGCCCTAACCTTGGACCCCTAAGGCCTTGAACCCTAGAACCTGGACCAAAGAACCCATACTACAAACCCAAAACCCAAAAGCCTAAACCGTCATAATCTGGGTTGTCCTTTGGGATCTTTTTTAATTTCCCCTACTATTTTGTAGAGAACCATAATAGTAAACAATTTTCAAAGGGCTTAAAGGACAACTCAGTAATGTGCTCTGGGCATCCCAGGCTCCTGGCCCGACTTCTTTCTGCGAGTTGTTTTCCCTCCCGCGGGTCCAAAACGTAGATCCCGTAATTTGGGGCATTTTGGTACTAAGGGGTACTTCATAGGAACGCCCTAAAGTGATCTTTTTTTTGCATCCTGCTAATGGCCTAGGTTTCGGAATACCTATTTAGAGCTCAGGTACTCAGTTCGTGGGAGTTAGTGGCTCGGGGTTTGAGGGTTGCGGGTTGAGGGTTTACTTAAAGGCTCATGGGACTTAGTAAGTAAGGTTATAAGCAGGTTATACATAGGATAACCCCACTTAGGGGACTTATAACCCCACTTATAACCTACTTACTAAGTCCCATGATCCTTTAAGTAGGGCCCTAACCCCTTAAATTTCTGTATAGACCCCTGTACGGAACTTAAGAGAAACCCTACGTTCTATGAGGTTCCAAATCCTTAAGACCAAAAGCGAAGCCCCACACCCTAAACCCAACCCGAAACCCCTCAAAACCACCAAAACTCTAAACCCTAAAACCCATGGGCAGATGCAAAAAGGAGTTCAAGCAAACAGACATAAGCCTTAAACCCAAAATGCCAAATTCCGAAACATCCGACAGAAATGACCTGGCCAAAAAAACCCTCAACCCTAAACCCCTAAGCCCCTAAACCCTCAACCCTGAACCCTACAACCCTAACACCCCAAAAACCCTAACACGCTAAAACCTTAAACCCTCAACCCCAAACCCCCTCAACCCTCAACCTTAAACCCCTAAACCCCTAAATACCGACCTCGCGGGCGCAAAAAGGAGCTCAATTAAGAACCATAGGTCCTAAACCCAAAACGCCCAAATCCGAAAATTCCGACAGAACCGACCCTAAACCCCAAACCCCAAACCCTAAACCCTAAACCCTGAACCCTAAATCCCGACCTGGCAGGTGGGCTCACGAGCCCCTGTCCCAGACTTTGAGCAGAACCGTGAGAACTGGTTCAGGCGGCCTCTGTTGAGGGACCCAAAAGGGTTTAGAGGTTTAGGGTATAGGGTTTAGGGTTTAGAGGTTTAGGGTTTATGGTTTAGGGTTTAGAGGTTGAGGGGTTTACTGGGAATTTAAGGGGTTAGGGCATTTTAGAATTTGGAGTTGTGGATCTTAGGGGTCCTTCTTGGAGGGGCAAGGGACTTAGTAAGGGTTTTTGAAGGGCTCCTTAAAGGGATCTATAGCGTTCCTTAAAGGGATCTATGGGGTTTAGGGTTTAGGGTCTACTTGGAGGGGCAGGGGACTTAGTAAGCAGGTTCTAAGTAGAGTTATAAGTACCCTAAGTGGAGTTACCCCAATTATAAACCTACTTACACCTTACTTACTAAGTCCCCTGCCCCTCCAAGTAGGGGTTTAAGGTTTAGGGGTTTATACGTCTAGGGCTTTAGAGTTTAGGGGAAGGAGAACCTGTACTTCGAGGAGTTCTACTTGAAGGTTCATGGGTAGTTGTAAGTGGAGTTATAAGTCCCTCAACATGGGTTATAACCGTAGTGACCCTACTTATAAGCCCACTTTTAACTCTATGAGGAGCTCTAGTGTTGCTGATAAAGTCCTGCATTACCTTCTCGGATGCCCAGTAGTACCCTTATTCCCTTTTTGTAGTCCTCGCTTCCCTATGAAGTTCCGCAATACCAAAAAGGGAGCCCATTTCATTTCTAGGTTACTGGGCATCCTAGCCTTAAGGGCGTTAAACTAGCTAGGAAAGTATTCCCTATTATGGGTAATGCAGGGTTCCTATCATCAACCGTAGCGATACTAGCGATACTAGGGATACTAGGGGCACTAGGGGTAATTGGAGTTTTTGTCGGGTTTAGGGGGTTTAGCCTGCAAAAAGGCTGTCTTGTAAGGGTTCTATCAGAGTTCTAGAAGGGTTCTATCAGGGTTCTAGGAGGGTAATTTTACAATGAGGGTTCTATACAGTAAACCCCAGAAAGTTGGAACATGGTTTTAGGATGGTTAGTGCTAGGATTCCCTCTACTTTACCTTAAGGGAATGAGGATAACGATGTTCCAACTTTCTGGCTTCTACCGTAAGAGGTTTAGGGTTCAGGGTTCAGGCGGTCTTTCCTTTCAGGAGTTCTCTGTTCTAGAGGGGTTCTGCAAGGGTTTCTTTAAGGGTTCTACAAGGGTTTAAGGTTTAGGAGGGTTCTACGAGGGTTCTATGAGAGGCTCCCCAGCAAACGGCTTTCCTATGATGGTTAGATTCTAGGATGCCCAGTAGTACCCTTATTCCCTTTTTGTAGTCCTAGGTTCCTTATAAAGTTACCCAATACCAAAAAGAGAGGCCTTTTTATTCTTAGGTCACTGGGTATCCTAGGATTTAGAAGGGTCAATTCGGGTTTCTTTAACGCATCCGTTGGAGTTCTATGAGGGTTTAGGGTTTCGGCCTCAGAAAGGCTTTCTTACAAGGGTTCCAGCAGAGTTCTAGGTGGATCTACTAGGGCTACGTAGGGTTTCTTGAAGGCTTCTATTAGAGTTCTATGAGGGTTTAGGGTTTAGCCCCAGCCAGGCTTTTCTTACAAGGGCTCTCCTAGACTTTTAGAAGGGTTCCATTAGGTTTCTTTTAAGTTTCTACTAGAGCAGGAGTGCTGTATGGGTACTTGGAGGATCATGGGACTTAGTATGTCGGGTTATATCTACCTTAATTGGGTTTATAAGTAACTATAACTGTAGTTACCCTGCTTATAACCCCAATTACTAAGTCCCATGATCCTTTAAGTAGGGGTCCTGGAGGCTTCTGTAGGGGTTCTGTAAGGGTTCGAAGGTTAGGGTTTAGGACTTTAGAATTTAGGGCGATTGCGGTTATACTGTGCTAAAACATAGCCCAAACCTATTCTAACTATTAGGGCCTGTATGTTGTGTCTTTTTGGTTTGTCGTCTGGACGGCGCCGTCCCTACTACTTCACCGATCTAACCCGTACCCCTAAGATGCACAAGCCGCCACTCTACTTGGAGGGGCAGGGGACTTAGTAAGTCGTTTATATGTACGGTTATTTAATTGGGGTAACTCCATTTAGGGTACTTATAACTCTACTCATAACCAACTTTTTGGGACCCCCGGCCCCTCCAAGTAAAACCTGTATCAGCTAATCGCATTCGGCCTGGTTGAGACTCCTGAAAGTGTTGAGTGCTTACCCAGAGACTCCAATACTTGGAGGGGCAGGGGACTCAGTAAGTAGGCTATAAGTAGCATTATAAGTACCCTAAATAGAGTTGCGCCAATTCTAACCCTACTTATAACCTACTTACTAAGTCCCCTGCCTCTCCAAGTATCCCTTAGTTCAGGAATGTCTCTGGGTAGTCCGGATCCTTGAGTCTCATCGATAACAAACCGTAAAGGCTCCCAAAGTCGTAGCTACTCAGGGTTTTACGTCCCAGCTACTATGCTCTGAACGGTTTTGGGCATCTAAAACCCTACGCCAAGCCATTCTGTTTGGGTACTTGGACCCCCTCGGTAACCCTAAGCCCTACCTGTACCCGAAAAGACCTACCTTTTTAAGGAACTATATATAGAAACTATAATAAGAAACCCTAAAAAGGCAGGTTTTTCCGGCTACAGGTATAAACCCCTAAACCCTCATTTGAGGTATGGCCTCCCTTGCTCGAGGTTCTGTGGATGAAGCCTTGCCGCTCTTTCGGATACCCCGTTATTATGTAAGCAGAGTACAACATTAGTACGCCCCTAGCATGTCAATGTCGTCTACTTTGGGTGGCCTAAGCCCTACACCCTGAACCCGAAACTTTCAACTGCACCCTCTTAACTGTCCCTAAACCCTACACCAATACACGCTAAAGCCTGACCACCAAGTGCTACCCCAAGCCTTAGTAGCTGAGTGGATACACTTTACACTTTTGGGGATACTATTACCCACTATGAAACTGAACGTGTACACTTTTTGGGGCTTATGGACTCAGCCACTAAAAACCTTCAAATCCAAAGCCCTGAACCCCTACACCCTAAACCCCTAAACCCCTAACCCCTAAACCCTAACCCCTAAACCCCTAAACCCTAAGCCCTAAACCGCAACCCTCGGCTTTAACACCTGAAGCTCCTTCGCCCTGGACGACCTTTTAGGACCCGTGCAAAACGGAATGGGAGTTTCCGAAAATAGGGGGACCCAAATATAGTACCCTAAATAGTAGGATCCTCATTATAAGGATCCAAGATAAGGTACCCCTTGTTTTCGAAACTCCCGTATAGAACCCTCAAGCGTAAACCCCTAAGCTTCCCTAAAACCCTCAACCCTAAGCTCTCAAGTCCCTAAATCCGTAGAAGCTGCCTGAAGGGTCCAAAGGACCCAATAATCGGGTTCTCGGTTTTCGGATAGCAATTATGTAGGTTAGGATTTTGGAGAGTATATGTCAGGTACTTGGAGCCTTGGGGCTGTATAAAACCCCCTCTAGCGCCACTTTAAACCCCTAACCAAGCAGGTACTGGGATGACAACAACGAGCGAGCCGCTGGGCTGCTTAAAACACGATCTATAGAAGGGGTTTAGAGTTTAAGGTATTAGAGTCAGGCTTTTCAGGGGGTTCTTGAGTCACGGAAGGAGGTGCTGTCGGATCTTACAAGGTTCTGTAAGACTGGAAGGGGGGGGGGGTCCTTCATAGTAGGCCCTAAGTTTCAATGCCATAGCGCCGTACAGCAACGAGAGCTTTGGGGTTTAGGCGTTTAGGCAATTAGGCTGTGTAGGGTTTGGGAGGCAAGCACGAAGCCTCGCACTCACTCAAGCCTCTAACCCAGAGTCTCCAATATCCCTTAACTGAGAATATTCTTCCTTAAATCATATTAGGGATCCTACCATAGTTTGAGGTATATTCCTTCATTCCCTTATAGAACCCTTATAGATCCCTTTAAGGAACCCTTTAAGGAACCCTAAATTATATCCCTTCATGATGGATATGGGAGTCCCTGGGAAGCTGCTTTGAGCGTGAGAGCCAAGGAGCTTCACTTTCTTCCCTGCTTGCGGGCGCTCGCGAGGAGCCTGCAATAAACTCCAAAGACCAATAGGGTTTAGGATTCAGGGTTTAGGTTTTAGGGTTTAGGGTTTAGGGTATGGGGTTTAGGGTTTAGGATTCAGGGTTTAGGTTTTAGGTTTTGGGGTTTAGGCCCCTGACGACCGAACACTCGAAGCCCTAAACGCCCTCATAAAGGTCCTGGTAAGCTTATGAAACCTTGAAAGAAGCCTGATAGACGCCTTGTTGTAATACTTATGAACCCTAAACCCTAAACCCTATATCCTAAACCTATGCAACCCTAAGCCCCTGAAAGCCCCCAAATCCGAGCAGCCCTAAACCTGAAAGCCCCGAAGCCTCAGAGTCCTACTAGTAGAGCTCAAGGGAAATCTTGAAGCCCCTGAAACCCCAGGTACCCTAAATCCCCAGCCCGCGCAAAGTCCTAAACCTGAAATCCTAAGCCCTGCATGCTGAGTTCTCAGCCTTAACTCAACCGTAAAAGAACTACCGCCGTATGTCGCGTTGGTGCCAGCATCTCCTGGCCGTATGGTCTTAGCCAGAGCTGCTTGCAGCTCTGGGAGAAAAGGAGTTCAGAAGAAAGGCGAACGCGGCCAGGAGCGGACTCGCCGTTTTCCGTGCGGCAAAGTCTGGAAAGTCGAACCCTTCCCAAACCCTAAACCCTAAACCCCTAAACCCCTACATAAATCCTAAACCCCTAAGCCCCCCTTGGCCTTGAAAGAGAAAGAGCAAAGGAATGATCGAGCCCAGGAGCCTCCTATACTCAACGCTACATGGGAGTTTCAGAGAATTAGGGGTGCCTTATCTTGGGTCCTTATAATAAGGATCCTACTATCTAGGGTACTATACTAGGGTCCCCTATCGGAATCTCCCAAATCCTCAGCTTTTGATACCCCGAACCTTAAAACCCTAAACCCCAAAAGCCCCAAGGGCCTAAAGCAAGCCCTCAAGCCCTAAGTACTCTAAAGCCCTGAACGTGAGAAGAGCCTTCAACCCAGTCTAAGTGTAGCGGCCTTAACAATTGGAACAGGGTTTTTGTTTTTGTTTTTCATCCTGGTTCTGTTATATGTTCTACAACTAACTATCAGTTTTAGGGCATAATCTTGGTACTTATACCCTGAAGCCCCAAACGTGAGAGGAGCCTTAACCCCTACACCCTTGGCTCAATGAGCCTTCTGGTTGCCTTACCTTCCCAAAGGCTCCATGTACCCATATGGTAGGTACTTAGGCCTTAAAGTACCCATATAGGGCCGCTTTAAGGCTTAAGCACCTACTATATGGGTACATGGAGACTAAGGGCTTCTAGGCAGACGGAAACAGGCATTCACCAAACCCACAGATACGCCTCAAAACCTCAAGTATGCTCAAACCCTAAACCCCTAACACCCTAAACCGTAAAGCCCTGAAACCCTGATGCCGTAAGTACTAATGCCTGAATGCCCTAAAGCCCATCCCTGCGTCACTCTCGCCTGGATCGTCCGACTACCGCTTCATGAGGCCCATAAGCCCTAAACGCTAAACCCTAGACCCTAAACCCAGAGACTCCAATATCCCTTAGTCAAGGAATACGCCTTAAACTATAGTAGGATCCCTAACATGGTTTCAGGAATATTCCTTAATTAAAGGGTATTGGAGTCTCTGGGAACCCTAAACCTTAAAGCCTGGACCCCGAACCCTGAAGCCTTACGCGCTACGTGGAGAATCATGTAAGTAGGGTTATAAGTACCTGAACTAGGAGTATACGTAATTAAACTGTTAAACTGTAGTTACTTTACCTATAACCCCAGTTACTAAGTCCCATGATCCTGCAAGCAAAGCCTCTGAAGACCAAACCCCCTCAACGCCCTCATGAAGGCTTCCTAGACCCGAAACCCTACACCCTAAACCCTAAACCCCAAACTCAGGGCCTAGGCCGCCCATCTCCATGGGTGGGTGGCGCTTCAGCCCCTCCACCTCCATGGCACAATACACCTGCCCGCCTTCCCACAGACATGGGGGTCCCACGTCAGGCCCGGTACCGGAGCAGGTTCTTCTTCGAGAACAGTACTGGTCCCTATTAATGTAAAAACACTGCCCTGCCCTGCCCTTCTCCCTGCCCTGCCCTCTCGCCCCTGCCCCTATCCTGCGGCCTGGCCCTGCCTTCTGCCTTATTATTGAAGACATGTTTCGGTGCTAAACCCGAAAAGGAATAGGTTTGGATGGTTGGCGTTGGCGCCACCGACAGGTCGTCATTGTCCGACGCACTAGACATGACACTGTCGCAAGATATTTCCGCTTATGCGCCACTCTACGGCAAACCCCTGAACCCCAAACCCGAAACCCTACACCCTAAACCCGAAACCCCAAACCCGAAACCCTACGCCCTAAACCCTAAGCCCCAAACCCGAAACCCTACACCCTAGCCCTAAACCCTAGACCCTAAACCCTAGCCCTAAACCCTAGACCCTAAGCCCTAAACCCTTATAGATCCCTTACTGGAACCCTTATGGATCCCTTAAAGGAGCCCTTATAGATCCCTTGAAGGAACCCTTATAGATCCCTTAAAGGAGCCCTTATAGATCCCTTACTGGAAGCCTTATAGATCCCTTTGAATGAATCCAATCCCAGAGACTCCAATATCCCTGAATTAAGGAATATACCTTAAATTATACTATTCCTTAATTAAGGGATATTGGAGTCTCTGGGATCCTAAAGCCTTAAAAACCCCGGGGAGGAGCCTGCGGCTCGATGGGGATTGCTCGGACATGGGTGTGCTGCGCACGGCGCCCCGGGGCGTCATTCTTTTCTTTTAGGGTTCAGGGTTTAGGGGTTCAGGGTCTAGGGTTTAGGGTTTAGGGGTTTAAGGGTTGGGGTTTAGGGTTCATCTTCCTGGAGAACCCAATACCCCTTAATTAAGGAATAGGCCTTAGGTTAGGTAAGGTATATTCCTTAATTCAGGGATATTGGGATCTCTGGGTTTTCTTCCGGGAAAACGAGGCTTCAGCTGTTTGAGTGTTCCAGGGATGAGAGGAGTTGGGGATTAGGAGATAGGGGTTTAGAGGTTTAGGGCTTATAGGGGTTTAGAGGTTTGGGGTTCAGGCTTTAGGGTTTAGGGGTTTAGAGGTTTAGGGGTTAGGGGTTTCGCGTTTCGGGTTTCGAGTTTGGGGTCTAAGGGTAGGCTTATCGTTCTTTTTTCCGATGCATTGCTTGGAGGGGCAGGGGACTTAGTAATTAGGTTATCAGTAGGTCCCCCGCCCCTCCAAGTGTGATCTGCTGAGTGAACTTTCTGCTTTGCCTAAACCCTAAACCCAAAACCCTAAACCCTAAACCCTAAACCCTAAACCCTAAACCCTAAACCCTAAACCCAAAACCCTAAACCCTAAACCCTAAACCCTAAACCTACCGTTTGGGTTGCGGCTGCTGCACGAGGATTTGAGTTTGCGGCTTTGGGCCTTAGGTTTTCGACCTCATGGCCAGGGATCTTCGAAGGTGGTTCTTGGCTATATGGGAGTTTCCGAAAATTAGGGGTACCTGATTCTGGGGTCCTTATGATAAGGGTCCCACTATTTTTGGCCTATATTGGGGTCCCCTGTGTTCGGAAACTCCCATATAAGGGTTTAGGGTTTAGGGCTACTTGCCGCCTGAAGCCTTGTCAGCTTTGAAGACGAAAGAGGAGAACCGTTGAAGTCCTAGAGTCTAAACCCCAAACTGCGCGTCGTGTTTCACCGCAAAGGTTTGCGCCTTCGAGCTTTGATGCTCTAAGTCGTGGCTTTCAGCTGTACTATATGATGGGCCTGAAAATTCGTGATACTATGCCGTAGTCCCTTAGTATATGTGCAGGAGAAAGCTGCCAAAAGCCCTTGTAAAGGAACCCTTATAGTACCCTTTAAAGGACCCCTTTTTATGCCTAGGTTACTCTTGGGCTAGTTTTTGGGGGTTTAGGAATTAGGGCTTAGGTTTAGTACTTTGAACTTGACACTAGGCGTTTTGTGCTTCAGGTTTCCAAGTCAGATGAGCGCTAAATCAACACCGCGAAGCCTTCAACGGCGTAAACCCTAGAACGCCATACCCTAGAATCCTAAACCCTGGAATCCTAGACACCAGAACCCCAAACCCTAAACCCTACTTGGAGGTTCATGGGTAGTTACAAGTGGGTTACAAGTCGCTTAATGAGGGTTATAGCTATAGTTACCCTCCACTTATAAATACTCATGAACCTCCAAGTAAACCCCAGACCCCAGAACAACCCCAAACCCCAGAACCCTCAACCCCAGAACCCTAAACCCCAAACCCCTAAACCCGAAACCCCAAACCCCAGAACCCTAAGCCCCAAACCCCTCAACCCCAAACCCTGAACCCCCAAAACCCTAAACCCGAAACCCGAGACTAAACCTGACCTCCGAGCCCGGAACTACTTGGGAGTGTCCGAAAATAGGGGACCCTAACATAGTGCCCTAGGATCCTTATTATAAGGATCCACGGCCCCTAAATGTTCCGAAAATAGGGGACCCTAATATAGTGCCCTACATAGTAGGATCCTTATTATAAGGATCCCAAAATAAGGTACCCCTAATTTTCGGAAACTCTATAAGCCCTTATAGTACCCTTAAAAGGAACCCTTATAGTAACCCTGTAAATGAACCCTAAAGGTGCCCCTAATTTTCGAAACTTCCACTTTGGTCTGGGCCTGGCGTTCCTTCAGATTTCAATCCATGGCTAACATCCCGAATTCTGCGGCACGCAGTGGGTCCTGATCGAAGTGAGCACCATCCAGCTCAAGAACCCGAAAGTTGTGCCCGAAGGCTTCGGCGACCTGCAGCTGTAGGTCTGGACTAAGGCCAAAGGCGAGGACATGATGCTGCGCGACGACCTGGAGATCCAGAAAATGAAGAATATTCCTGAAATTATAGTAGGATCCGTAATATGATTTAAGGAATATTCCTTAATGAAGCGCTTTTAGAGTCTCTGGGTTCTTCATGCTAGACGGCTCAGGCTTTGGGGTTAAGGGTTCAGGGAGTATACCGCCTGCAGCCTAAACGCCCCTTAGACACCAGTATCCCTTAGAAGCTGCCCCCACCCTGTAATACTGACTATAAGGATTCAAATTAGGGCCCTAGTATATTCCTATAATACCCACTATTAAAGGGTCGGGGCCCCTTCTAAGGTATCCCTGGTTTCAAGCCCTGAGGCCCTTAGAACGCTAGGAGCCCGTTAGGGCAGCATGTAGTACTTCCATTGCTGCTACTATTGCTGCTGCTGCTACTAGTAGTAGTAGTAGTAGTAGTAGTAGTACTACTACTACTACTACTGCTGCTACTACTGCTACTACTACTACTAGTACTACTACTACGACTACTACTACTACTACTGCTACTACTACTACTACGACTACTACTACGACTACTGCTACTACTACTGCTACTAGTACTAGTACTACTACTACGACTACTACTACTACTACTACTGCTACTACTACTACTACGACTACTACTACGACTACTGCTACTGCTACTGCTGCTACCGTTTCTTCGTCCACCGCCCTCAGCCGTGAAGTCGCGAAGGTCTTGTCTTGGCCGAGCTTTTCGCAGAGTTCGGACTCATGGAGGCAACGGAGGGCCTTTTCTGCGACAGACTTTTTGCGAGGGATTCTAGGATCCCCAATACTTGAGGTGGGTCCCACTGCTGGGGTCATCTTTCGGAAAACTCTTCTGTCATGCTCACCCATAGGCTCCATAGCAGTTCCTTTTTGGGATTACCCTCTAGGATTCTAAATATGAGCCCCAAAAAAAGGAACTGCCTTGGCCTATGGGCATTATGATGCACTAACCCAGAGGCTTGTCGAAACTTCAAGGTTTACGAGGGTAGACGGGGTTATCGGGCTTTACAGCGGTGGTGATCGATTGTTGGGCTGTGCACGGGATCATGGGAATTCATGGAATCGGAGTTTTGGGGTTTTGGGGTTTTGGGGTTTTGGGGGTTTAGGGTTTAGGGTTTAGGGATTTTGGGCCCGGGACTTAGTAAGTAGGTGATATTCGTGGTCAGCACAAGTACCTTACTCTGTTGGGCCCGCATATAGCTTCATTTAGACGCCCCCCATGACGAAGTCCACCAATCCTTCAAGCAGGGGAAGACAAGAGCTTGTGAGGTTGGATGGCGGATGGCTTAGGCACCTCAACCCTCGGCTCTGGATACAGCCTTGAGGGTTTGGGGGTTGGGCTTCAGAATTTAGCCAGCCTAGAGCTGAAATATGTAAACCTGCAGCCCGAGAACCTAGGGTTTACTTAAAGGATCATGGGACTTAGTAATCGGGGTTATGAATAAGGTAACTCCGGTTATAAGTACTTATAACCCCAAGTAAGGTACTTATAAGCATACTTACTAAGTCCCATGATCCTCCAAGCAGGGTTTAGTAAGCGCTAAAGCCTGGACTCTGAACGCCAACTCCAAGCCAGGGTCGTGCTGTCCGAGCTTTCACCCACAGGACCTGGACTCCGACAACATCGGCGCCTCTTTCACAGTTTCGCACTTGGCCAATTCTCAGGGTCAGGCTACCAGTTTTAGCTGTCGGTCGCATGTGCAATGCTATCTCCTTCTCGTCCCTACATTAGTATTGGTTCCTCATACCACAAAACACTCTTCTAATCGTTAAATCCCCACATTACAGGGTTTCAAGATGCTCCTCTTACTTGTATTTCCGGGAGTAGGAGGCTGGGCTGGCTAAGGGTTTAAAAGGTTTAGGGCCGTAGAGTTTAGGGTCTAAGGTCTAGGGTTGAAATTGGGCTATTCACCTAAGGCTTCCTTCCATCATTTCGCTTATTTTGCGGGGGGTTCAGCGGCCCCCGCAGCTCGAAAAGCGCTTTGGGCTATCATGAAGGGTTATAAGGGTTTAGGGCAGAGGGTTTTGGTTTTAGGGTATAAGGCTTAGGGACCAGGGGGTTACTGTAGCTTCTTATTTTAAGTTGAACCTTACAAAATCCACAGCAAGCCTGAAAGTCTTGAGACCCTTAGCCCTAAGTTCTAAACCCTAAACCCCTAAACCCTAAACCCTCGGTCTTAAACCAGAAGCCTGGCTGATGGATTGTCGTCATATTGACGATGAGATCTGCGCTGTTCCTTCGTTGCTGTTTGGCCCGAGTTTTGTGAGACTGTTTCAAAGCTTCAGGGTTTCACCGCTCCGGGGTTTATTTGAGGGATGTCTAACGCCCATGCCGCAAAACATGCACTGTTCAGGATGCGCTCGCTACTTTACGTTAAGTCTTGCTGGTGCTCAGGTTCGCGATTTGGAGCACAGTGCCGGAAGCAGACCAGCAAGTAGGTGGGCAAAGTAGATCAGTGCAGACTGTCCGTACTGCATCCTGCAGCCAAAATGGCATCGCTCTGCACCGTATAGACCTTAGAAGCACTTTTTTGGTTGTTGCAGCAACCACCGTAGCACGAATACTGATTACTATTACTAGTGCATTTTACCAATATATATGTATGATAACTTACTGTGACTCATGAGCATTACTATTACTATTTACTATGAAATACTAGTTACTATGACCATTATTGTATAACTTCACCCAGCTCAATGCTGTCTCGGAGTGAAATGGCCATGGCTCGGCGACGCGCTTCGCTCCGGCTATGGGTCCTGTTTGGGCTTCCCGGCCATGTCTGAGACATGTATAAATACATGTGTATATATATATAGATATGTATATGACAATTTTTATACAGATCGTTCTATATATACTTATGTGTACATATGTATACATATATATATATATATGTATACAAAGCATGTATACAGATCTTTCCATATATACATATGTATACATATGTATATATAAATGTGTGTGTGTATATATATATATATATACGCATTCAAAATGTATATACAGACATTATATACACACCGCATTCAGCGTGTAGAGTTTCGGAATTTGGGTTTAGGGGAGTTTATGATTTATATCTATAGGATCTCGGATGTGGTGGCACTGAATTTGGAAAATGCTCTGGTCTCGCATGCTGCTGGCAGCGGTAAGGGTCACATGTGGGCGCTGTGGGAGTTGGTGCCTTCGGCGGTTCTTTGGGTTTCATTGGGCTTTGTTGGGGATTTGGACACTAAACCTTTAAGCCCTAAGCCCAAACGCCTACTTGGAGTGGCGGGGGTTCGGTATGCAGTCATTTTATAGAGTCATAAGGGTGGTTGTCAATATTAGGGTCGCTTTTTGGGTCCTTATTATAATACGGCACCTGATATTTAGGGTACTCCAAAAGGGACGATAATTTTGACCACCCATAAGTATCATAACCCCATTTAGCATCCCTTTTGGGGTAGGGCCCATGGTTCTGGGCTTCAGCTTGCAGAACCAAGGCCACCGAAAGGATCTAAGAAGTAGTCCAGGGGTAAAAGGAGGGACCCTTGATAAGGACCCCTAGGTATATACCCGTGATATAGCTAGTATATGCCCATTATATAGCCCATTATAGGGTAAGGGTCCCCATTAAGGGTCCCTCCTTTTCCCCTTTGAAGTAGAGCCCCCGAGTTGGTTAGGGTTCAGGGTTTAGGGCTTAGGGGCTGGAGCTAAGAACAAGAGCCTTAGTATAGGGTTCTGAGTGATTAGAATATGTTTCCCTTTTGAGGGTTCCTTGATTTGAATGGGGTGTATAGGGGTTACTTTAAGGGCTCGTATAAGGATCTGTTTCGGGGTTCTAAGCTACGGACGGGTAGAGCTGGACCCAAAATCTGAAACCTTCTGTGTGCCAAGTCGAAAGACGACTTTGCACAACGTCTTGGCTACTAAGATGACTAAAACTAGCATGATACAGGGTAAGTTCCCAGTGTGGACCTGGTGTATACTTAGTCATGTTGTGGATCCAGCATTCTGGAAGAGGTTGTCAGAGAACGATAATGGCCCCCAAACCTTATTCTAATTGTTAACTTAAAGGATCATGGGACTTAGTAGTTGGGGTTATAAGTAAGGTAGCTACAGTTATAATTACTTACAGCCCCAATTCAGGTACTTCTAACCCTACTTACTAAGCCCCATGATCCTTCAAGAAGACCCCCATATTAGTCCGCAGCTGCCCCACGAACTCATCGGCCGAGGCTGCTTGCAGCCCTCTTCCGTAGCAATGACTGGGCGAGGCATCGTTGAATGTCCATTACCTGGACCCTAAGGAACCTACCTTTTTATGGACTTGTATATAGAAATCATACTAGGGGGCCCTAAAAAGGTAGGTTCCTTCGGGTCCAGGTAGTGCCTGGTTTCGGGCTTCGGGTTTAGGATTTTTGGGGTTTAGGGTTTTAGGGTTTAGCGTTTAGGGCAGTAGGGAATGTGGCGATGGGCTTTTGGGACTATTATAAGGGACCTGCAAAGGGGGCTATCATAAGGATCCATTCTCCCATTCACTACTAGGAACCAGGGAGATGAATGTTTAGGGGGTTGCGGGCCGAGGGTTTAGGGGTTGATATATACCCAGATCTTCCGGGAGGATCCAAAACGAAGATCCCTTAATGGGGGTTCCTATGAAGTACCCTTAGTAGTATAGGGCAATAAATTGGGGGATCTACTTTCTAAATCCTAAACCCTAAACTCTAAACCCTAAACCCTAAACCCTAAACCCTAAACTCTAAATCCTAAACTCTAAACCCTAAACCCTAAACCCTAAACCCTACTTTCCAGATCCTCCCGGGGGTCTCAGTAGGGCTGGGGAGATTTAGAGTTTAGGGGAATTGAGGTGTTAGTGGTTTAAGGGGGTTTTGGGTTTGAGGATTTGGGGGGAGTAGGGTTCAGGGTTTAGGGGTTTCGGGTCTAGGCAAAATAGGGGGTAAGGGGTTCTCGGGGCTGGGGGGGTTGAGGGCTTAGAGTTTAGGAGGTTTGGGGGTTTAAGGGGATCCGAGTTGCTTGTCGATTAGGCTTTCAGGGCGTACGGTTTCGGCTGGGGCATTGGCGCTTTCGGGTTTGCAGTAGAAGGCATTGGGGTTGTAATGATGTTTATCTCTTGGCTTCATCTGATGCTTTTCACGGTTTTCTTACTCAGGGCAGCGGCACTATTTGAGCCATTGGGGTCGTCAGGACTGACGAGATAATGTGGGATCTTCGGGCATAAATAGCGCTTAGGAACTCAGACCGTAAACCCTGGTCCTAGACCAGCGAAGTTTAGCGCGTGAAGGTGAGAAAAACTTGAAATTTGGTTGGGAGTTTTGATGTCGGCTTGGATGTAGACCCTAAACCCTAAACCCTAAACCCTAAACCCTAAACCCCTAAACCCTAAACCCTAAACCCCTAAACCCTAAACCCTAAACCCTTAGACTTCAGGGTTTTGGCTTCGGATCACCAGTTCTGTAGGGATCAGGCTGCGTGTTGCGGGCGAAACCCGAGACCCAGCACCCCAAACCCCAAACCCTGTCTGCTGTTGAGGGTATATGCATCTTCCCAAGCGAGGATTCTGAGTAGAACCTGAGAGAGCCCTTCAAAGAGCCTGTGAACTACCCCAAGCTCCCAATCAGTGCGCCCTAAACATCCCTATGATAGAAGCCCAAAGGTTGGAAACCAAGGATTCTCAAACCTTAAGAGCAATGTACACGGAATTCGAGCACTATTTGTCCTTAATCCGGTTTCCAAGTTTTGGGGCTTACTAAAAACCACTTCAAGGATCATGGGACTTAGTAATTGGGGTTATAAATAAGGTAACTCCAGTTATAATTCCCCATGAACCCCAATTAAGGTACTTATAACCATACTTATACACTAAGTCACTAAGTCCCATGATCCTTAAACCCTCAACCACTATAGATCTCTTATAGAACCCTTTAAGGAACCCTGTAAGGAGCCCTACTAAGTCCCATGATCCTCCAAGCATGGAAGCTTCCGGCCAAGTTCTTGAAGCCCTACATCCCCAATACAAAACCCTATACTAACCCTCGGAAAACAAATCCCTTAAGCCCCTAAACCCTAAACCCCAAACTCCTAAACCCTAAACCCTAAACCCTGGCCCTGAACCCTAAGCCAAATTCTTGAAGCTACCCAGAGATCCCAATACTCCTTTGTTCAGGAATATACCTTGAATGATTACATTAAGGCCCCTATAACTAAAGTATGTTCCTTAATTCAGAGGTCTTGGGTTCTCTGGGTACCCTGGATCAAACCCCTAAACCCCTAAACCCTAAACCCTTAATTATAGAACCCTCAGAGCCTTATAGATCTCTTTAAGGAGCCCTTTAAGGAACCCTAAGAGATATTGGGTTCTCTGGCTGCCCTGCATCAGGCCCCGGGGCTTCGTGCTCGGCTCGAGGCCGGTCGGGATCGAGCCGAGCTGTTTGATATCGGGGCCTTAGTTGGAGGTTCATGGGTAGTTATAACTGGGCTTTCAGTAGGGTTATTGTTATAACCCATATTAAGGGGCTTATAACTCCACTTATAACTTCCCATGAACCTCCAAGCAGTAACTAGAATAGGGTTCCTTTAAAGGGCTCCCATAAAAAGGGTCTATAAGGGCTGCTATAAGGGCCATGATAAGGATTGAATAATAAAGGGGCCTTAGTAATTAGAATAGAGTCTTGGGGCACATTATCTGCAGAAGCAGCCGGAAAGTTGGAACATCATTATCCTCATGGCCTAAACGCTAAAGCCCTAGCCTAAACCCTAAACGCCTAAAGGCGTTCAACAAAAACCGAAACCCAAACCCCTAAACCTTAAACCCTGACGTACAGCGAATCCTAGCACTCATATTCCTAAATCCAACTCTTGGGGTTTGGCCCTACTTGGAAATGGGTCGTTCTCTAAATTAGGGTCCTTTTTCGGGAGCCGCCTCATATTCTAGGATGCCCAGAACTACCCTTATTCCCTTTTTGTAGTCCTAGGTTCTTTATAAAGTTACCCAGTACCAAAAAGGGAGCCTTTTATTTCCTAGGTTACTGGGTATCCTAGTATTGGGATGTTACAGAGGGATCCGAATTTAGAGAACTACCCATTGGAGGATCCCGGGTTCACGGGGGTTTGGGGGTTAGTGGGTTTCATGGTTTAGGGTTTAGGGGGGTTTTAGGGGTTCAGGGGGTTCGGGTTTAGGGGTTTCAGGGCTTAGGGTTTTGGGGTTTTTAGAGGTTTAGGGTTTAGGGGTTGCCCCAAAGAAGCCCCAATACCCTAGTCCCTGGGCAGGTCGAGATTTGCAGTAGAAATGACGAGTTTCTTCGATAATTTCACGGTCATCACCGGATCCGTGTCAGCTTGATCGTGTCCAACTGTCGTCGCAGGCGGTCCAAGTTTTTCCTGGGCGGCTGCAACGTTGCAGAGATTAACTCCAGGGGCTCCCAGGCTTCTTTGCAGAAAGCCCTTCGATCATTTTCAGGATCCCCCCCCCCCAATGGAACCAACTTCCTGATTTACGGAGTATACCTTCGATCATATTGCGGATCCCCCCCCTGTAATTTCAGGTATAGTCCTTAGTCGAAGGGTTTTGGGGTCTCGTGACACCCCCATTGTCGCAATCCCTCTGTATACAAACCTTTGGAGAAACCTTCAAAGGAGCCCTAAAACCCTGAACCGACAAGACCTTAAATGTATTAAACCCTAAACCCTAAAACCCTCAACTCTAAACCCTAAAACCCTCAACTTTAAACCCCAAATCCTAAGCAGACAGCACCTTAAAGCCCCAACGAGCTCTTCTGCGAGTGTGGAGCAAGAGCCCGTTCAGGAAGCTGGGGGTCGCACATCCGTCCACGATTGCTGTTCTTCGTGTCTGCGATTGTCTCATAGGGGGGGGGAGGGGTAGGGGACTATACTTAAATTGGCCTTATTAGGTCCTTATTATAGGTATTAAGGCCCCCTACTCCCTCCCCCTACCCCCCCAATGGTCCTTATGATTCTGACTTCTTCGAATCCCAACCATCCGATGATGGTGGCCTATACAGGACTTTCTGCTCGCAGGTTCTGAGGACAGGCTTCTCTATGACGGCAGCCGGCCAAATGTGGAAGGTTTCGTCCTTGTGGAGGCACATGTTCAGAGAGGTCCCCCTTGCACACCTTGCTGGCTTTGCCTGTGCATGCAGGTCCTTGGTAGAGGCCGTGCCGGAGAAGCAGCGCAACACAATGGAGACGATAGGAAAACCCTAAAGGCCCTAAACCCCAAACCTGTAAACCCCTATAACTAACCCCTAAACCCCTAAACCCTAAACTCCTAAGCCGAAGCCCTAAGCCCTTAAATCCTAATTAACCTTTTGTTGTCAGTTCCGTGACTTTGCACCCGGAGAGTTCAATATCCCTTATAAATTAGGGAATATACCTGAAACTATAGTAGGATCCCTAATACGATTTACCGAATACTCCTCGATTATGGGATATTGGAGTCTCTGGGCACCCTAAACCCTAAAGAATCCTCATAGGAACCCTTAAAGGGTCCCGTCAAAGGGATATTTGGAGTCTCTTTGCAAGCCCAGGGAGCAGAAAAGCCCAAACCCATAAACCCTTAACCCCCTACTTGGAGGGGCAGGGGACTTAGTAAGAGTTCTTAAAGGGCTCCTTAAAGGGATCTATGGGGTTCCTTAAAGGGATCTATGGGGTTTAGGGTTTAGGGTCTACTTGGAGGGGCAGGGGACTTAGTAAGTAGGTTATAAGTAGAGTTATAAGTACCCTAAAAGGAGTTACCCCAATTATAACCCTACTTATAACCTATTTACTAAGTCCCCTGCCCTTCCAAGTAACCCCCAAAACCCTAAACCCCTCAACGCTTCGCAGGCCCACGGAGCAAACACGGAGATCACTCCGCACCTCCAACTGGCGCCTGCGTGCCACTTCCGATGAAATGCGCCTTGAGCGCTGTTTGAGGGCCTGGGGTTTAGGGGTTTAGGGGGTTAGGGCTTAGGGTTTTAGGGGGTTAGGGCAAAGGCTTAGGGGTTGTGGGTTTTGTGCTCAGGGTTTAGATTTTAGAGTTTACGGTTTAGGGGCTTAGGGGTTTCGGGGTTTAAAGGTTTGTGGAACCAGCCTTTTAGTCCCTTGGTCCCTGATGATTATTCTATACTTGGAGGTTCATGGGTAGTTATAAGTGGAGTTATAAGCCCCTTAACATGGGTTATGACTTTCGTTACCCTACTTATACGCTCACTTATACCGAACCTCCAAGTATTGTATCCCAAAACATTGGTTTTAACATTACGGCCCGTATGCCAAAAAGCCCTGTAAGCCGATAGAGACCCTTAGATTAGGGACACCAAAAGGACATAAGCATAAGCATTACATGGGGATATCCCTACCTCCTTGGGCTGCATTATAAGGGGGTTTATATGGGATGTCCCTATCCTTGTTGTTGCTTATGTGTTTTTTTGGGGGCCCTGTTAGAGGCACCCAAATCTCCGTTGAGTTCTTCAGGCCCAGACATCAGATCCGAGGCTTGGGCGTCTGGAATTGAATGAAGCAGTAGGGTTTAGGGTTCAGGGTTTAGGGTTAAGGGTTTAGGGTTTAGGGTTATACTACATTAGACTGTTTAGTTGTTGCTGTTGCTGCTTAGGATGACGGTGGGCGCTGAGACTCCATAAACCCCAAACCCTAAACCACTAGAGCCCCAGTACTAGAGTAGGAAACTTTCAACCTTTTTGGGGTACGATCATCCCTATATACTCCGAAAGGTCATCCTTTAGTGCCCAGGATACGGAACTCCTAAACCCTGAACGGTACGGTTGATGGTATACATCCTGCATGACTTTAAGGGCCCTAAACTATGGGAGTAATGGTATATTCCTGATGATGGGTAATGCAACTTTTCATCATCAATCCCTAAACCCTAAGCCCTAGAACCCTACCATAGATCCCCTAAAGGGCCCTTATTAAAGGTAGCCGAAAAAGATCCCTTTGAAGGTGCCCCTAGCATCAACCGTAGGAACCTGGAACCCTTGGCTCCGAAGGTGATACTCGGAGGATCATGGGACTTAGTAAGTAGGGTTTAGGGTTTAGGGTTTAGGGTTTAGGGTTTAGGGTTTAAGTATAACTGTAGTTACCTTACTTATCACCACAATTACTAAGTCTAATGATCCTTCAAGTACGATCTACGAACCTGAAGCTTCCAAGACGGCCCTACACATGGGAGTTTCCGAAAATTTGGGACACCTTTAGGGTTCCTTTAAAGGGTTACTATAAGGGTTCCTTTTTAGGGTACTATAAGGGTTTATAGAGCTTCCGAAAATTAGGGGTACCCTGTTTGGGGGTTTCCTATAATAAGGATCCTACTATTTCGGGCACTATATTAGGGTCCCCTATTTTCGGAAGCCCCCACATCAATGGCCAATTCTCCCAGGTTCAGGCTGGATCTGAAGGTGTAATGAAGAGGTTCCAATGTCTAGTAACATCCCTATAGCCCCTTCGAGTGTGACAGTTTGGGATTCGGAAGGATAACATACAAGCCTGCATACATTCTAGTACTCTGCCTCAGGTTCCTTTTTGTACTTCTGCCATAGAATACCCCGCAACTCCATGCCCGTACTATCTGTGCCGAAGGACTGTTTCCGAGTTGGCGTCGCAGCTGCGACAGCAGGGCCTCCAGACCACCGATGCAAACAGGCCCGCATCGGGGTGCATTCAAGCCTTTGTTGTTACTCCTGTAGTAATTCGTCTAGGTAGTGGGAGCTTGTGCAAAGGATGGTGCTTACTATACTACATCAGACTACTATTCCGTTTTCCATCGCTCTGATAATGACTATTTAAAAAGGTTTTCAGAGTAGTTGCACAGGCAGGAGGTGATCACGTGAGGCACTCCAGGACAGCTTTTTCGAAATGGTGTTCCAGTAGATGGGGGATGAGACAGGAATGCGGCTCCAGTTTGCTGAGGCTGTATAAAGAACTCAATCGTCGGCTTTTTCTCCGATTTTTCACGGTCGAAAGACTTGCTTTCGGTGCAGTGAGGGAAGTTTCAGAGAGACAGACCCGAAAACCCTAAAATCTAGGACATAAAGCCTTAAGAGACTTCAATGCACAAGAGGAAGGGAGGGTGCATGGTGCATTGAATGTCTGAACCGCACGGGTTGTGACAGCAAGCCATACCTTAAATCACCATAATCACGAACATCACTTTTGCAGGTTCTTACGATAAACCCCAATGCAGAGATTCTGGGGAGCCTAGGAAAAAGGTAGATCTTGGCAGCTCGAGGTGCAAGAATCTGAGACAAGGATCTCCTTGGAAAAGACACGGGTTTCTTAGGGGTACTTAGAAATATTTTGTAATTTTTGGTTTAGAAACCCTAAGAAACAGCTAAAATTATGATTTTTGCTGGGGTTCTAAGTTCAGTATAGGTTTGACCTGTTGTGATGTTGGGTCATCGGGCGAACACGCTCCACGGTTTCTGGTTCTGGGCTTTGGGTTCAGGGGCCTCGGGTCCAGTATCCTACCGGACATTACCTTGAACCCAAGTTTAGGGTTTAGGGTTGACCTGTGGATCCAAAAACCTACCGTTCTAAGCGTTACACCGTTACACCCTCTAATTAAGGGGTCTTAACCTACCATTTTGTAGGGTTTGGGGATACAGGGAGGCGCCGAGCAAGCTTCCTGCCCGGCCTTGCGCAGGGCAGATGCGAAAGCTGGGCAGATGCTCGCAGATCTCATCGAACACCTTGCCTCGAGCAAGGAGGACCTGGGCCACTTAAAGGATCATGGGGACTTAGAGACTTAGTAATTTGGGTTCTTTAAGGGGCTCCTTAAAGGGGACCTATAAGAGATCTATAAGGGTCTAGGGTTTAAGGATCATGGGACTTAGTAAGTGGGATTATAAGTAAGGTAACTCCAGTTATAATTGCTTATAACCCCAATTAAGGTACTCATAACCCTACTTACTAAGTCCCATGATCCTCCAAGTAGAGTGTAAGGGTTTCGGGAGTAGCGGCTTTGGGGCTTTGGGCTTGAAGGGTTTCGGGATTTAGGGTTTAGGGATTTAGGGTTTAGGGCCTTGGGGATTACGGGAAGGCACTTTGAAGCTTTAACAGCCTTAGACTGCCCCCGACCACTGTGAGGTCTTATGTTTTTAGTTTTAGATTGGCAGGTGAAGAACTTAAGCCCTAAACCCTAAACCCTTAAACTTTATGGCCTTTTTGATATTTCGTCAATTTCAGAGTCTTAGAAAGTTTGTGGCTCGGTTGTTGAAGAAGGCGGTGTTAGCCCTGGATGAAGGGGGCCATTGAAGCCCTTCCTGGCCTTAGTCTTGTCGGCATGCTCAAGCCACGAGAAGGGAACCTCCAAAACTACTTAAAGGATCATGGGACTTAGTAGCTGGGGTTATAAGTACCTTAATTGGGGTTATAAGTAATTATAAGTGTAGTTGCCGGGGCCTTGCTTAAAACCTCAATTACTAAGTCCCATGATCCTTCAAGTAGACCCCTCAACCCGTCAATCCTACCTGGACCTCTAAGAACCTGCCTGTTTCAGGACTTATCAAAGGAAGTGAGAATCGGGAACCCCAAACGTGTCGGTTATCTAGGGTTTAGGGTTTAGGGTTTAGGGTTTAGGGTTTAGGGTGGACGCCGCTAGCGGGAGGAGCTGCAGAAGAACGACTGTCGCCTCAGCTATGCTCGCATGCGGGCCCAGCTGAAGCAGCTCCAAGGGGAAAAGGAGGGACCCTTAATAAGGACCCCTAGGTATATACTCTTAATACAGCTATGATATACCCATTATATAGCCCATTATAGGGTAGGGGTCCCCACTAAGGGTCCCTCCTTTTCCCCTTCGAGCAGCATATCATCCGGGAAAGGATCGAGACTTTTGAGGCTTCGACCGAAGGGGAGTACCAGCCCTCGAGCTACTGGGAGCTCAAGGTAACGATGTAGAGAAGATCGAGGCCATGGCACTCTGCAAGGAACACGAGGTCTTGGGGGCCACCTACAGAGTGGCCATCGACAAAGACAAGCATGCCGCCATCGTGCAGGAGACCGAGAAAGACCCTCCCGGCGGCATCTGCTGCTTACTGGCCCGTCAAATTGCTTGGCCAGTGGGTTGTGAGCGGAAGGTACATCGCGGAATCACTGCAGCAAGTTTTGCCGGTCTGTACTTACAGGATCAGGGGACTTGGTAATTGGGGGTATAAATAAGGTAACTCCGGTTATAATTGCTTATAGCCCCAATTAAGGTACTTATAAGCATACTTACTAAGTCCCATGATCCTCCAAGTACATTGAGGCAAAGTTCCCCAGACCTTTACTGATAAAGCCGGAAGTCTCCGGACAAGTGCTCTGGCGCGAGGCAGAAGAATGGGTTGATGGTGTCAAAGTCTTCGAAGAAGCGATGAAAGATTCGGACACAAAGTTGTAGGGCTTACGCTTGATGATATAAATCCTGCATTACCTTAAGGACCCCAAGCTATGGGAACTGTGGTAAGTTCCTTATTATGGATAATGCAGGATTTATATCATCAACCCTAAACCCTAAACCCCCTATAGATCCCTTAAAGGAACCCCTTAAAGGTACCCTCATAGATCCCTTAAAAGGAACCTTAGGATTTATATCATCCACCGTAGGACGTTAGGACGACCCCAAACTTCGCATTTACTCCTACGGTGCTGGAGCCTTCGAACCCCTACAAACCCTGAACCATAAACCCTACTTTGGAGGATCTATAGGGGTTTAGGGTTTATGGTTTAGGGTTTAGGGTCCCGTTGAGGGATCTATAGGGGCACTATAAGGGTTTAGGGTTTAGGGTCTACTTGGAGGATCATGGGACTTAGTAAGTAGGGCTATAAGTACCCTAATTGGGGTTATAAGTACTTATAACTATAGTTATCTTACACTTATAACCCCAATTACTAAGTCCCATGATCCTTTAAGTACACCCAAGAGTTTGTCACGCTTTGGGTTTAGAGGTCTTTAACCCAAGACCCTGGAACCCTAAACCCCAGGGATTCGCCACAGGAGGCCTCGCAGCCGAAGTCTTCTGCGAATGGCCCGACGATGCCGTCCGGCTGCATACTCGGGTTCCTTTCAGGGTTCCTCTACGGGTTCCTTTAATTTGAGGCGGGTTCTATAAGGTTGTTTGGCAAAATTATGGCCCCATTTTGGGTAACCTAAATATTAGGTGCCGTATTACAATAAGGATTCAAAAAGGGACCCTAATTTTGACAACCACCCATAAGGGTTGAATAAACGTTAGACATTTGGGGTTGCGGTTCTCGGGCTTTAGACTGCAGCGTGTTAGGGTTGAAAAGGTTAGGGGCTTAGGGTTTAGGGGTTTAGGGCTTAGGGGTTTAGGGCTTAGGGGTTTAGGGCTTAGGGGTTTAGGGCTTAGGGGTTAAGGGTTTAGGGGTTTAGGATTTAGGGGTTTAGGGCTTAGGGGTTTAGGGTTTAGGGCCTTAGGGCTTAAGGTTTCAGGGTTCAGGGGTTTAGGATTTAGGGGTTTAGGGCTTAGGGGTTTAGGGTTTTAGGGGTTTAGGGCTTAGGGGTTGAGGGTTTAGGGTTTAGGGTTCTGGGGTTTAGGATTTAGGGGTTTGGGGCTTAGGGGTTTAGGGTTTTCGGGGTTTAGGGCTTAGGGGTTTAGGGCTTAGGGGTTTAGGGTTTAGGGGTTTAGGGTTTAGGGGTTTAGGGCTTAGGGGTTGAGGGTTTAGGGTTTAGAGGTTTAGGGTTTAGGGGTTTAGGGCTTAGGGGTTTAGGGTTTAGGGGTTCAGGGTTTAGGGGTTTAGGGCTTAGCGGTTTAGGGTTTAGGGCTTTAGGGTTTAAGGTTTAGGGTTAAGGCCTATGGTTCCGGGTGCACGTTGTAGGGTTGAGGCGAGCTCTAGCTTAGTGGAGGAGTAATTGAATTGGTGTTCAACTTCTTGGCTTAGTGTCGCCTTGACACAACCGTCAGCTCCTACAAAGGAGGCACATAATTACAACAGTATGTAACATACCCCAAAGCCCTAATCCAACTATCAACGATTCAGGCCCCAAGATTATGTATAGCTCGGCCGGGAGTGTAGTCGTGTTCCTGTGAAGCCGAGTCAGTGTTCAGAAGCAGTCTTTGCAGCTCCACAAGTCATTCCTAAAATTTCCGAACGCAGTTTATAGTAAGGGTTTGGGAGTTAGGTTGTAGGGACCTCATACCTAGAGACCCGAAGGAATGTTTCTTAAACTCTACTAAGGCTCTTTAAAAGGGGGGCCTTAACTTGCCTGCTTTGATCCCTCGGTATGCGGTGTATGAATCAAGGTTGGTCGCTCTCGGGGGTTCTTTCGGGGCCATTTAATTGCTAGCAGTAGAGCAGTAGGGTAGGTAACCTTCAACCTTCGGGGGTGCTAGAATCCTTGTTTTGCCATATTACCCTAAACCTCAAACCCTGAAGGCCAACATTCTACTTCCCAAGGAGGCTGGACAAGCAAGGCATTTGTCGGATCCCATTCGACTAAAGCCCAGGTCCTGACCTAGCCCTTAAGCCCTAAACCAAAACCCTTAGTAGTAGTAGTAGTAGTAGTAGTAGTAGTAGTAGTAATAGTAGTAGTAGTAGTAGTAGTAGTAGTAGTAGTAGTAGTAGTAGTAGTAGTAGTAGTAGTAGTAGTAGTAGGTGTAGTAGTAGTAATAGTAGTAGTAGTCGTAGTCGTAGTCGTAGTCGTAGTCGTAGTCGTAGTCGTAGTCGTAGTCGTAGTCGTAGTCGTAGTCGTAGTCGTCGTAGTACTCGTCGTAATAGTACTAGTAGTAGTAGCAGCAGTAGTAGTAGTAGTAGAAGTAGTAGTAGTAGTAGTAGTAGTAGTAGTAGTAGTAGTAGTAGTAGAAGTAGTAGTAGTAGTAGTAGTAGTAGTAGTAGTAGTAGTAGTAGTAGTAGTAGTAGTAGTTGTTGTTGTTGTAATAGTAGTAGCAGACTCTAAGCCTTATTTGTTTGATGCTCATGTTTACAGCCGGCCAAGTAAGGGAACCTTAATGTTAAGAAGCCACCAAACCCCTCTAGCAGGCTTGTTTGACATTTCAGAAACCCCCAAATCCCAAACCCTAGGCCCTAAACCCACAAATCGCCACCTTCCAACGAGGCTAGCGGAGCTGCGGGTTTACGACTCTGAGGCAGCAGAGGCGCAGCAGGGACCATGCCAATAAGGTTGCAGGGTTTATGTGAGGCTTCGGTTTTCGCGCGTACGGGTTTGGTTGTCGTCAGAGGCGCAGGATTTTGGGTATAAAGCTTCGGATTTAAGGTCTGGGCTTTCCGGTTTAGGTTCAGGCTACAGAAGATACATCAAAAGTAATACAAGTTGAAAACAGCTACATTCATAATCGTACATATTCGTACCAGGAACTGCCAGACGGGTGAAAGACTCTCAGCAAAAATCCTAGCTTAGCGCAGGTTTCGCGGGGGACGTAAGCTTTTGAAACTGGAAGTCATCGGTGATGGAGGAGTTCGTGGCGCAGGCAGCGGTAATGGCAATAGCGATGTTGGTGTGGACGTGGATCATGATGTTCTAGTGATGTGCTATTGCTAATTGTCAATGTTTGATACCGAGTTCATTCATTATGGTTGTTACGATAATGAAGATTTTTGCCATTATTCCGATGATCACTTGCTATAAAACAGATTTTTGTCTGAGATTTTATGGTTATCATGGTTGGTATGCACAACATGCTTACGGTTGAGTTACTTGCAGTACTCGATGATTTTAGTCATAGTTGTTTGTGACAGATTTGTATAATTATGAAGATTTGTCTCACTGCGATTGTGCTCTATTGGTACTACTCCTAAGAGTTGTTTGTTAGCAGTACCAGTACTGTTGTCATTATTTTACTGTTGACGATGTTGCTAGTACTGCTACTGCTAGTCTCATTCTTATTGTTACTGTTATTGTTCCTTTTATTGTTCGATGACTGTTGCTGGGTTATTGTTACGCTTATTTGTTACGATTACTGTTACTGGTACTGAGTAATTGATAGTGTTATTGCTGTTGTTTTTGTTGCTGGTTCTGGTATTGTAATTGCTATTAAGACTGTTATTTTGATTGTGCTTGCTATTGGTAGCAACGGCCTGTTCACGTGTGTCGCGCACGTGCCGACCGCCTCGGTATTTTTACGGTAGTTCGTGGGCTTCCTAGCCGAAAATGTCTCGCCTGTCGCGTTCTTCGGGGGGGGAGGGGGAGTGCGGGTGTGAAGACCCCGAACGCATCGGTATGGCTTGCCGAAAACGTTGTGCTTGCCGTTGTTTTCCGGGAGGGTTTCGTTCAGTCCAGAGCATCTATGGGCCAAGCATGTTAACTTCCACTCCGACACCATCCGTTCACGTGCAGCATCCATGGGCCACTCACACCCCATCCGTGCACGCTGAGCACCCATGTGCCAACCATGTTGACATTCACTCAGTCCCCATCCGTTCACGCCGAGCATTCATGGGGCCAACCATGTTAACGTCCAACGTTCTATAGAGCGAAAGTGCTGCGCCTGCCATGTAATCCTGCTAAACCTACTGCTTCATCCTTTGAAGGGCGCGCGTGAACAGTTTTGTCATTCATGTCTACCATGACTTATATTGCCATTATTGGTATTATGATCAGTATTTGTATTCTAGTTCTTGGTTTAAACGGAATATTACTATTATTATGACCATTAAAATTTGTTCAACCTTTTTGACTGCTACTCTTATCATAATGAGGTTTCTGATGATGCTGATGGTCATGATGGAGGGTTTCCCTAAACCTCAAAACCCTAAACCGGTGAGGGAGAAGAGGAGGACCAGGGCGACTGGGGTTGCCAAGGCTGTCGTGTTTAGGGTTTAGGATTTAGGATTTGGGGTTTATGGTTTAGGACTTAGGGCATAGGGTTCATGTAATGAACGTGTGACCGTGATAGCAGTTCACGTTCGTACTTTCTGTAACCAAGGACTTGTATGCAGAGTTCAGGTATTGTGATAAGATGCTTGGAGGCCCTTTTGACTTAGTAAGTAGGGTTAGTAAGGTGGGTTATGGGGATTATAATGGGGTTTCTAAGGGATACTAAGTAGACTTACTAAGTCAAAAGGGCCTCCAAGTGTGATAAGCAGGACGACCTGTGTCGGGCCCGGACACCGCAACTGAAGCCAGAAGCTGAAACCCTTACCCTGAACCCCAATACTAAATTTTAATCCCTAAGGGGCTACTATAAGGTCCTTGAAAGGGATCTATAGGGTTCCTTAAAGGGATCTATGGGGTTTAGGATTTAGGGTCTACTTAAAGGCTCATGGGACTTAGTAAGTGAGGTTATAAGTAGGTGATAATTAGGATAACCCCACTTAGGGGACTTATAACCCCAATTACCTATTTACTAAGTCCCATGATCCTTTAAGTAGGGTTTAAGCTGAAACCCTTACCCTAAACCCTAAACCCTGAACCCAATACAATTTTTTTTACCCTAAACCCTTACCCCAACCTTGGCCCTGCTCCCTCCACACATGAGGACCTCAAGCAGCCCCCAACTCTCAACGAGCAGGAAGGTTTTTCAAACTTTAGCTCATAAGCCGTAGCGCCTAAAGCTTATTTTCAAAACCCTCAACCCTAAACCCTAAGAACCTTTCGGTAAGCACTCTGCAGTTCGAAAAGGAGCCCTTAAAAAATCCTTGAGAACCTTTGTTTAGGATTTTGGTATACAAATGTTAGGAGTAAGGAGCCCTCGACATGCAAGTTGAAGGGGGGTTCAGGTACACCCGTAACCATGAGCCTTCAAATGTCCCCAAACCTTAAACCCTGAAGCCTAATGCCTCGGTTTTTGGGATGAACAGTGTACCTTAACCCGGGAACCTCAAACCACAGGGTTGAAGGTTTCCTTAAACCTTAACAAAAACACTCCTAGGATTTAGGTTTTAGGCCTACTGCCGAGACCTTAAAGGCGGGGACCTCCCAAAGGCTTCAAACTCCCGGCTAGACTTAAGGGTTCAGGGTTTAACCCCCAGTCGAGAGGGAGGTCGTTATCATGATTATATAATCCGAGACCCTAGTTTGATTAAGGCCCGTTATCAACCTAATCCCTAAACCCTGAGCGCTAAGCCTTGAACGCAAAGCCCTAAGCCCTGAGCCTTAAACCATAAGCCCTAAACCCTTAAACACCCTAGACCTTAAACCCTAAACCCCGAGCCCTAAACCCTATTAGCCTAATAAGCCCTATCAGCCGCCATAAGCCTTAAACCACTACTTGAAGGATCATGGGACTTAGTAAGTAGGGTTATAAGTACCTTAATTGGGGTTATAAGTACCTTAATTGGGGTTATGCAAGTAATTGTAAGTGTAGTTACCTTACTTAAAACCCCAACTACTAAGTCCCATGATCCTTTAACCCCAGACCATTATAGATCTCTTATAGAACCCCTTTAAGGAGCCCCTTAAGGAGCCCTTTAAGCAAGCCCTGAACCGCTAAGCCCCGCGGAACCCAGAGACCCCAATATCCCTTAATTAAGGAATATATCTTAAATTATAGTAGGATCCCTAGTACGATTTATGGAATATTCCTTAATTAAGGGATATTGGAGTCTCTGGGTTCGGACTTTTGGATGGGTTATACTTGGGGTAACTCCATTTAAAGTACTTATAACTCTACTTATCACCTATTTACTAAGTCCCCTGCCCTTCCAAGTAAGCCCCGCGGAAGGCACTAGACCTGAAACCCTGAACCCGAGCCCTAAACCATATAAGCCCTGCCGCTATAAGCCCTGAGCCACTAAGCCCCGCGGAAGGAGTCCCTTAAACCCTATACATCCCTTGTAGGAGCCCTTAAAGGAACCCTTATAGATCCCTTTAAGGAACCCTTTTCGGATATTGGAGTCTCCTATAGCCTAAACCCTATAGATCCCTTATAGGAACCCTTATAGATCCCTTTAAGGACTTTAAGGAACCCTAAGGAATATTCCTTAAATAAGGGATCTTGGAGTCTCTGGGAAGGCGGACTACTTTCCCCTAAACCCTAACCCCTAAAACCCCTAAAACCCCTAAAACCCCTAAAACCCCTAAAACCCCTAAAACCCCTAAAACCCCTAAACCCTAAACCCTAAGCTTTTAGGGGTTTACCATAAGCCCCGCGGAAGGCGGACTACTGATCCCTGAGAGGAACCCTTATAGATCCCTTTAAGGACTTTAAGGAACCGGGAAGGCGGACTACCTTAATGTCCCACCCGCAGAAGGCCCCAAACCCTAAACCCTTATAGTACCCCTATAGATGATCCCTTAAAGGGACCCCTAACCCCTTAAGTAAGCCCCCCGGAAGGCGGACTACTTTGACAAAGCCACCGGCCAGTGGGACCTCGAGGGTCTCGGCTCGGACCTGGCGCTGGCAAAGGCCCCCCACGCCGTGGGGTTTCCTTTTAAGGGCGTCCCTTTTTTGGGGGATCTAGAGGGGTACTATAAGGGTTTAGGGTTTAGGGTCTACTTTAAGGGGATCTATAGGGGTACTATAAGGGTTTAGGGTTTAGGGTCTACTTTAAGGGGATCTATAGGGGTACTATAAGGGTTTAGGGTTTAGGGTCTACTTTAAGGGGATCTATAGGGGTACTGTAAGGGTTTAGGGTCTAGGGCTTACTTAAAGGAGCATGGGACGTAGTAATTGGGGTTATAAGTAAGGTGACTACGGCTATAATTACGTATAACCCCAATCAAGGTACTTATAACCCTACTTACTAAGTCCCATGATCCTCCAAGTGTGAGAGTTTCTTGAAAGGGTCTTTTAAGGGTTCCTTTGCAGGTGGGAACTCCTCTAAGGGTTCTAGGCAGTCAGGGCCCCGATTAATCCTAAGCCTTACTTGGGAGGATGGTGTGACGGGCTAAGGGTGCTTTTAGGGATCTATAGAGGTACTATAAGGGTTTAGGGCTTAGGGTTCTTCTTGTAGGATCATCTGACTTGGTAAGTAGGGTTATAAGCGCTTTTTTCCTTACTTGGGATCAGAAGTAATTCTATCTGTAGTTACCTTGCTTGTAACGACAATGACTAAGTCCCATGATCCTCTAAGCAAGGGTTCCCTTAAAGGGTCCATTACGGGGTTATAGGGTGTGTTTGGGTTCGGTTAATATAGGGGCGTTCATAATCAGGTGTAGGGTTTAGGTGAATATAGGGGCCTCAATAGTTAGAGTAGGGTTTTGGGTCTGTTATATTGTCATTATGTTGCAAAAGCCGTGTGGGGTTCAAGGTTCAGGGTATCGGGCTTCAAGGTTTTAGGGTTTGGGGGTTCGAGGCTATGGGCTTCCGGTTTTTTGAGTTAGAGCTCCAGGGCTTTTAGGGTTCAGGGTCTTGCCTACGTGAAGCCCCTGAGCTTCGTGCACGGCATCTTCATTTATGAGCTTGAAGGCCAAAGCCTACTATACCCTTCGCTCGCTTGAGCCCTAAACCTTATAAATAAACCCTAAGCCTTTTAAGCCCTATAGACCCTATCAACCCTAAATCTGGTTGAAGCTATCTCAGGTTTTTGGGGTTAGTGGTTCCAATTTAGGGCCTTTTCTGCCTTTGTATACCTCGATCGGGGGTTAGGCCTCGACCCCAACCCACTGGAATGTAGAGGCCCAAATAACTACATACCCACATTATTCCGTGGATATTAGTCTTACTACTCATATTGGGGCAGGATCCATGGTTGGTCGTTGCGCAATCGTCCGCATATCGGAATCGGTTTCCTCATCCAGAAGGTTTGTTTACTGTGAGCTTGAATTGAACTCGGAGTGTTTGGGGTAATGTCGGAACCTGATTAAGAAACCCTGGGCCTGTAATAGAGGCCCAAGGTTTCTTCATCAGTGTCATTAGCCTCCGCAGTCCGGAGGAGTGTCCAGAGGCCTTGTGCCGAGTGGTTTGGGGATCCCATATTGTAATGCTGCAACACCCCTACGTTACCGCCTCTTCAACCCTAAACCCCTAAACCCCTAAACCCTAACCCCTAAACCCTAAACCCCTAAACCCTAAACCCCTGAACCCCTATACCCTAAACCCTAAACCCCTAAACCCCTAACCCCTAACCCCTAAACCCCGAAAGCCCTAAACCCCTAAACCACTTCATCCTAAGCCCCATGCTAGAGTTTGAGCTTCAGAGCCCCTCAGGCTCACAAGTTCTTGAGCCCTAACCTTGATTCCTAAACTTAATATAGGGGCCGAAATAATTACCAATACTATTCTGGGGGTTCCTTATTATAACTACTAGTATAATGGGGACCAAAACCCTATTCTAATTATTAAGGCCCCCAATTTTAGGGTTCACGTTGGCTGTAAGTTGAGCTTAGGGTACAGGGTTCAGGGTTTAAGTTTAGTGTTGAGATTTTGGATTCAGGGTTCAGGGTCTTGGGTTTAAGGATCCTAACCCCTGAACCCAGAACATTAAGACTTGTGTACGGCCCCCACTCAGTAATAGTTGAATAATATTCATAACAAAGACATATTAGGACCTTAATAGTAGCCCCATTATAGACTCTTGCTGTATGGGCGCAGTACCTAAACTAAGACCGAAACCCTACCCTACTTGGAGGATCATGGGACTTAGTAAGCAGGGTCATAAGTACCTTAGTTGGGGTTATCAGTAATCATAACTGTAGTTACCGTACCTCTAACCCCAAGTACTAAGTCCCATGATCCTTCAAGTAAGCCCTAAACCCTAAACCCTTATAGTACCCCCTCTAGATTCCCTTAAAGGGACGCCTTAACGGAACCCCAATTACTACGTCCCATGAACCTTCAAGTAAATTACACCTTGCACCCAAACCCACATACCAAAGCTATTTTTAGCCCGACTCGTTCGGAATAGCTACTAGTGTTGTTTCCTTATCGTCCCTCTGTAGCAGTAGTATAATAGGGCTTTAGGGTTTAGGGTTTTGGGTTGAGAGTTTAGAGTTTAGGAATATACCTCCGGGCCCTACTACTAGTCCTTTCATGACCCGAAGTTAATGCCGCTGGTCCGAAGGCTCAGGCGAAGAAGGACCACTCCAGAGCGGAAGCGACTAGGGAGGTCCGCTGGCTCGGGTGCAGTGAAGGGGATCTTGGCCGTTTTTTGCAAGATTTGTTGTTGAAAACGCGGTTTCCTTTGCAGGGGCTTTGTTCGGGTTTATGGTTTGGGTTCAGGGGCTGTTCTGTCTCATATAGACCTCAGAACGCTCTTAAAATGCAGCCCTATGATTGTTTAAGAGCCTTACCCGGTTGCCTACTACATAAACGGTTAACCCTTTGTGAGGACTTGTTAAACGACTTGATAGGATGGTGAAAGGTTGCTGAGAAGCTCATCTGGGGGTTGTTCTAAATTATGGTCCCTTTTTGGGCCCTATAGTAGTATAGCCCTTATTATATAGGGTACCCAAAAAGGGACCATAATTTAGAACAGCCCCCATCTGAAGAAGCAATGATGCTGGGTTTGCGTGGCTATGAAGCCCTGGAGTTTCAATCTTACAGGTGAGAGCAGTAGCAGCAACAATATGAAGAGGAGTTGTCACTGTCGTAGTATTAAGACTGTCATATGTATGTATACCTATATATATACATATGTATATATATATATATATGTATGAATATGAGCAAGACAGTAAGGTCTGTTCTTGATGGATGTTTTCAAGAGTTAATACTCGTAGTCGAAGTCGCAGCCGCAGCTGCCGCAGCAGAGGAGAAGTCGTTGTCGTAGACTTCGCAGGAGTCGTAGTAGTAGTCGTAGTGGTAGTTGTAGTCGCAGCCGTAATTGTCATCGTGGCCGTTGTGGTTGTCGTAGTGGTGGTGGAAGCAGTAGCAGTAGCAGTAGCAGTACAAGTAGTAGTAGTAGTAGTAGTAGTAGTAGTAGTAGTAGTAGTAGAAGTAGTAGTAGAAGAAGAAGAAGGAGGGGGAGTCGTCGTCGTCGGCAGCAGCAGCAGCAGCCACAGTAGAAGTAGATGTAGATGGAGAAGGAGAAGCAGAAGCAGAAGGCGGCAGTAGCAGTAGCAGTAGAAGTAGCAGTGGCACTAGCAGTAGCAGTAGAAGTAGGATGTAGGACGCAGTACGCTCCTTATTAAAAGCCAAAATAAGGTACCCCCTAATTTTCGGAAATCACCAAAATCCTAAACTTCTAAACCCTAAACCCCAAAACCCCTAGAACCCCTAAAGCCCTAGAGCCCCTACAACCCCAAAATCCTAAATCTTCGTAAACCCGCTAAGCCCTAAACCCTAAACCCCGAACCCTAAACCTCTAAACCCTCAACCCGGAACAGTAAAGCCCTAGAGTCCCAAAATCCCAAATCTTCGTATCTTCAGAGTACCCCTCTTTTTCGCAAGCTCACAAAATCCTACACCTCTAAACCCTAAACCCAAAAACCCCTATATAAACCACCTCTAAAGCCATAGAGCCGCTAAATCCCAAATCTTCGTGTCTCAAAGGGGAAAAGGAGGGACCTTCAATGGGGACCTATAATGGGCTATATTATGGGTATGTAACAGCAATATTAAGGGTATATACCTAGGGGTCCTTATTAAGGGTCCCTCCTTTTGCCCTTGGAGTGTCTTCAGAGGTCTCTCCGAAGGCTTCGCCGAGAGAAGCCGCACCCGTGGTGGAGCCGGTGAAAGCCCAGGAGGCATCGCGGGGGGTTTAAGGGTTTCGGTTGGGTACGGCCCCACTCAGTAACAGTTGGATAATATTCATAATATAGACATCTTAGAACCTTAATAGTCGCCCTATTATAGACTGTTACTGTATGGGGGGCAGTACCCAAGGTTTAGGGGTTGAGGGTTTAGGAGGGGTTTAGGGTTCAGGATTTAGGGGTTCAGGGTTTAGGGTTTAGGGTTGGGAGGTGGGGTTTAGGGTTTAAGGGTTTAATGGATTAGGGTTTAGGATGTAAGGGTTTTAGGGTTCCGTAAAAAAGGAAGGTTTTGAGAAGGGTTCCCAGAGACTCCAGTATCCCTTGCTTAAGGAATATGGCTTAAGCTATTGTAGCATCCCTAATATGTTTGAGGTATATCCCTTAATTAAGGGATATTGGAGTCTCTGGGTTTTGGGGTCTGTGGAGTTAGGGTTGTAAGGTTCTTTCGGGATTTTCGGGAGTGAGGACACTTAGGATTGGGGTTGGGGCTTCGTTATAATGTGATCCAGGTAGTGTAGGGGCCTTGATAATTAGAATAGGGTTTTGGGGTTCCTTCGTATAACTATGGTATAATTACTCCCAAAACCCTATTCGAATTGTTAAGGCCCCTGCATTAATGAGTAGTGCGTTCTTGAAGGGTTCTATAAAGGGTTTGGGAAGGTTCCTTATAACGAGTGCATAATAACACTTCAAGCCATACCCGGTATTACCAGAGCCAAACGTGCCCAATTAGAGGACTCTAGACCTCTAAGCCCGAAGCCCGACACCTCCATCCCAATACCACAAACCCGCAGCCCTGAACCCGAAAACCCTAAACCACCGTAAACCTATAGTATTTTTACAGAACCCTTGAACCACAAATCACCAGAGCAGGTTTATGGCGCGAAAACTGCCGAGCAGCTTTTTTCGGAGCTGAGTGCTTTGGACTCCTCCGTCAACGAGGCGCCGTAGGGTTTGTAACGGGGATTTACTGTAGGGTTTAGGGCATGGACGGGGATTTCGGGTTAAGTGCTGTCAAGGGTGTTGGTTTGGGGTTTGTCACAGGGTCTAGGGTGGAGGGTTTCGTCTGGGGGTTGGGGTAGGGATTTGGGTTTAGCCGGGTTGAGGGTTTGGACTAGATTCGATTGATTATCTTCTGAAGCTGCTGGAGCCCAAAAACCTTGGAAGCTCAATCATAAAGTCTGAAAGCTTAGTTTTCATGCTTCAACCTTAAACCCTGAAATCTAAGTCCTGGCTGAAGCTTCAAGCTTTGCAACAGGAGGACTACGTATCCAGCGATGGCATTTGGGACATCGAAGGTCTTGAGGATGATCTGCGCTTGGCCAAGGCAGCCTTGTCCTTTTTCATGGTTCCCCAAAAGACTACACAGACCGGCTAGTAGACCTTCTTAAATAATTCCTACTAAGGGATATAGGTATAGGGCTCTGTCTATTATTTCCAAAAGGACAAGGGTGGGCCAAGGTGCAGCAAGCTCGGGTCCTAGGGGTTTTGGGGTTTAGGGTTAGGGGCGTCGTTCTTACTTAAAGGATCTTGAAAGGGCTCTTGGAGGGGCGCCTTAAAGGGGGATCTATAAGAGATCTATAAGGTCTAGGGTTTAAGGATCATGGGACTTAGTCATTGGGGTGATACGGTAACTACAGTTATAATTACTCATAACTCATAATTGAGGTACTTATAACCCTATTTACTAAGTCTCATGATCCTCCAAGTAGGGTTTTGGGACGTTGAGGTTTAGGGTTTTTCGGGTTTAGTCGCTCAGCATTGTAGTCGGAGAGCTTCGAATTTGCTGAAAGGGTTTGGGGTGTAGGGTCTTCATGGGAGTTTCCGAAAATTAGGGGTACCTCATTTTGGGGTACTACTATTAGGTTGCTATACTAGGGTTCCCGTATTTTTGGAAACCTCCTCATATCTCGCCATAGCTCAACCATAGCGAGTGATTATACAGCCTCCCAGTTGATTTCTAAATGGTGGTGGTACAACCCCTTAATCTTATTCACAACCCCCCTGTGCTAAACCCGCAATCTTATGCCCTAACTCTGCAATGTACAGTCGGGAGCACATGGCAGCCTTAAAAAAAACTCCTAAATCTTTATCCTACATCCTTGACCCTCAATCTACACTCAATCCTCAATCCCAGGACCAGGATTGCCACGGTTTAAGTTGGACCAGGGATTTGGGGTATTGCTCGAAACTTGGAGGCAAGACTGACACTTGCTTAGGGTTTAAGGATGTTGGGTTCGCAGAGGTTTGTTACTTGAACGATCATGGGACTTATTAAGTAGGGTTATAAGTACCTTAAGCGGGGTTACAAGTACTTATATTTGCATTTACTGTAATTTAACCCTAATTTCATAGGGACCCTTAGGGGGGTAGGGGGAGGGCTTTAGGGGACTATACTTCCTTAAACTCCACCTCCCCCTGCACTTGTAAGGGTCCCTATTACACTTGCTAAGTCCCATGATCCTTTGAGTAGGGCTCGGATTTAAGGTCCCTAATCGCCGGCAGCCCACCGGCGACCGAGGCTAAATTACACACCTGAAGTCTCTGAACCATCACCTAAACACTGGAGGTTCAGAGACGCCCTAAACCCCTAAACCCTCACGCCAAGCACCAAGCCTTTCCCTCGTTATGAAGGGAAAGCATGGCGTGGTCTCTGTGGTGGCACGAAGCCGTTTTCCCCTTGAGCCCGAAAAGCCAAAGCCTCAAACCGTAAGGCGCAAACCCTAAAGCCCCACACCCTAAGCCCAAACCTCTAAAGCCCTGAACCCTAAGCCCTAAAGCCCTACAGCCCTAAAGCCCTAAAGTCCTACACCCTAAAGCCCTGAAGCTTTAAACACCGTGAACCCTAAACCCTCAACCCCTTAAGCCCCAGAGCTTTTAGGCCCCACCGGAGTTGCAGAAAACGAGCCTGGGGACAATTTCAAGTATGGGTCCTAGTTGTGGATCTGGGTTTAGGGTCCCTAAACCCTAAACCCTAAACCCTAAACCATGGGCTTTAGGGTTGGGGCTATCTTCTGGTTCCTTGTTTTCGCTAGCCTCCTACCTTGTTTTCCGAGGCTCCGGCATGAATCAGAACCCGAATCTCCGAACCCCTAAGCCCAGAAACCCCTAAAACCAGAAACCCTAAACCCTAAACCCTAAACCCTAAACCCGAAACCCGAAACCCTAAACCCGAAACCCTAAACCCTAAACCCCTAAACCCCTAAGCCCAGAAACCCCGAAAGCCCTGAAGCCCCGAGCTCCCTCTCTGGGGGTTGTTCTAAATTATGGCCCCTTTTTGGGCCCTATAGTAGTATAGTCCTTATTAAAAAAAGGGTACCCAAAAAGGGACCCTAATTTAGAACAACCCCCATACTTGGAGGCCCTTTTGACTTAGTAAGTTTACTTAGTATCCCCTAGAAACCCTATTATAATCCCCATAACCCACCTTACTAACCCTACTTACTAAGTCAAAAGGGCCTCCAAGTATCAACCCTAATCCGCTAAACCTCCAGGGCCTTGAACTAAGCCCTAAGCCACCCTAAACTGGGTTTAGGGTTTAAGGGTTTAGGGTTTAGGGGTTTAGGGTTTAGGGTTTAGGGGTTTAGGGTTTAGGGTTTAGGGTTTAGGGTTTTGGGTACCCTAAACTGTATAGTTTAGAAGCTGCCCCCACCCTGTAATGGTGGTATAGTAGGAATATAATGGGGCCCTAATATAATCCTATATAATCGTTATGGTCACTATTACAGGGTGGGGGCCCCTTCTAATGTATAGCACCCTTAACTTCACCAAGAACCCTTAAAGGAACCCTTGACAGAATCCTTACAGGAACCCTTGAAAGAACTCTTCAAGGAATCCTCAAAACGAAGCCCTAAGCCCCTGAACCAGACGAGCGCTCGTGGCGAGAGTGACCTCATGAAGCTCTTCGCTGAGCTCAAAGCTCTGGATCCGGCTGTTAGCAAGGCCGGGCAGGGGTTTGGGGTTCAGGGTTTAGGGTTCAAGGTTTAGGGTTCCTTGAGGAGTTCCTTTAAGGGTTCTTTGAAATTAGGGGTGCGTAGGATGTAGGGGTTTAGGGTTGTTGAGGGTTTCAGGGGTTCCTAAAGACTGGAAACACCCCCGAACCAGGGGATATCGGAGTCGCTGATGGAATTTGAGGATGCTACAGGGTTTAGGGGTTAGGGGTTGCGGGGTTTAGGGGTTGGGGGGGTCTCGGGGCTTAGGACTTTGGGGTGTAGGGTTTCGCGGTTTAGTTTAGGGTTGTTGAGGGGTTTAGGGGGCTTAGGGCTTCGGGGTTTAGGGTCCCCGGGTTTAGAGCGGGATTCAGGGATGAGGGTTTTCAGGGTCGAGGGGTTTAGGGTTTGGTAGTACAGTGGTTGCCAGGGTGTTACGACGTCTACAAGGTTTCTGAACAGCTTTTCGTTTTGCAGGTTTTTGGATTCGTTGTTTTGGGTCGGTTAGAGCAGCCTGATGTTCATCATCAGGATACCATCATGCAGCATACTGTCGGTGAAGGTGATTTTTTCGGCGATATTATGACCAATGTGTGTTGAGCTTCCTCCAACTGGTTTGTTTGAGCAATCCATCTCTGGAGAGGCAATGTGTGAGGGACGACACGCGAGCTCATGTTTAGACGAGACATGGGAAAGCCAAGACATCAGTCATGCGAACCATCGTATGAAGTTAAGGCGCAGCACCCTTTCCAGGCACAACTCAGCATGCATACATGTTTCCACTTGCATGCCTGCGTACTTAATCAGTACACGTTCACGAATTGATCTGCATCTAGATTTGGTTGTCCGTGGCATATATACGTACCTATTAACCCACAACCCTGCGTACCTGCCTACACCTTCATGCATGCAAGCTCTATGTCCAGTACGGTACCCAGAGAACCCAATACCCCTTAATTAAGGAATCTACCTTCAATTATAGGGGCCTTCATAATGTGGTTTAAGGTATATTCCTTAATTAAGGGGTATTGGGATCTCTGGATATGGGTTCTGAGGCTGAGGCAGAGCAGCAGTTTCGGGAGTGCATGTGTTACACCACATGTGAACACCTTTGAGACTTTGTGTGAAGTTTCCGGAAAGATGGACAATGCACCATGTTAGCCAACGAAATTCTCGAAGATAGATGTCGGAATATGTAGGGCTTTTTTTTATATCAAACTTCTGATAATGCTTGCTTTTTGCTGCTGAGACTGCTGAGCGCGATGCCAAGAGGCTGCATGTAACCCGAGGTCTAAAGAGCACCAGGAGCATCAAACCAGCCGGATTGACAGGAAGACTACTACGACGCAGTTGGTGATTTCTGGGATGTCCAGGGGCTCATGGACGACTTGCGCTTGGCAAAGGTGCCAGGGCAGCAGGTCACAGCCTCGTTAGCATCCTCCTTAGAACCTGACTTTGCGAACGCGAGCACTTCAGGACAAACTAGGATCCATCGATGCCATGGCATTAGGTTTCGAGTTTTGACATTTCCATTCTTCACAACTTCTTCTCGGCACGCAAGCGAGGCTTCAGCTAGTGCGCCTGCTACAGCCAGTGCCACCCCTTCTGCGCCATCAGCGGCCGCGGCGCCAGCTAACCAGGTCGTTCCGGGTCGGATGAGGTTTTTTGAGGGATAGCGTGTCTTTGCAACTGCAGACCCAAGGGAATCTTTTTGGGATCTGCAGCTTTAGAGAATTTGGTGTCCTTGTTTGGCTTACGGACATGTGTGCTGCGAGAGGGATCGTGATTGTTGGCTGTGTTGTTTTTGGATGGCCTACAGGAGCCAGGAGGGTTTGTTCAGGTTCAGACACGTCGTTTGATCCCGAGCTAGCTGAAGGCTGCCAGCAGCGGACAAAAGCTGTTTGACGAGCTGAAGTCTTTGGACCCTGCGGCTGAAAAGGCCTCAGTGCAATCTTTGCCTGTTCAGGATCTGACGTTGAGTGCGCCGGGCTGTTTTAAGGAATTCTTGATCAGGGGGAGTGGTTGGGAGGGTGCAGCGTTTTGATCAGTGCAGAGCTGCTTAATACTGTTCTGAGGAGCTGTCGGTTTGGATCTGGGTGTTTAGATTCGTTCTTGCACTTCTTTAGGGTCTGTGAGATGGCTTCCGGATGAAGAAATCGAAATGAGGGTTGGGTCGCGGGGTTTCTGAGAATCGCCTACAGGATTCTTCGCCGTTTGCATGGGCAGGCAGACTACTACGACACAGCTGGTGATTTCTGGGATGTCGAGGGGCTCGAGGACGACTTGCGCTTGGCAAAGGTGCCAGGGCAGCAGGTCACATCCTCGTTAGCATCCTCCTTAGAACCTGTCTTTGCGAACGCGAGCAGTTCAGCACAAACTAGGATCCATCGATGCCATGGCATTAGGTTTCGAGTTTTGACATGTCCATTCTTCGCAACTTCTTCTCGGCGCACACGCGAGGCTTCAGCTAGTGCGCCTGCTGCAGCCAGTGCCACCCCTTCTGCGCCATCAGCGGCCGCGGCGCCAGCTAACCAGGTCGTTCCGGGTCGGATGAGGTTTTTTGAGGGATAGCGTGTCTTTGCAACTGCAGACCCAAGGGAATCTTTTTGGGATCTGCAGCTTTAGAGAATTTGGTGTCCTTGTTTGGCTTACGGACATGTGTGCTGCGAGAGGGATCGTGATTGTTGGCTGTGTTGTTTTTGGATGGCCTACAGGAGCCAGGAGGGTTTGTTCAGGTTCAGACACGTCGTTTGATCCCGAGCTAGCTGAAGGCTGCCAGCAGCGGACAAAAGCTGTTTGACGAGCTGAAGTCTTTGGACCCTGCGGCTGAAAAGGCCTCAGTGCAATCTTTGCCTGTTCAGGATCTGACGTTGAGTGCGCCGGGCTGTTTTAAGGAATTCTTGATCAGGGGGAGTAGTTGGGAGGGTGCAGCGTTTTGATCAATGCAGAGCTGCTTAATACTGTTCTGAGGAGCTGTCGGTTTGGGTCTGGGTGTTTAGGTTCGTTTTTCCACTTCTTTAGAGTCAGTGAGATGGCTTCCGGACAAAGAAATTCGAAATGAGGGTTGGGTCGCAGGGTTCTTGAGGATCGCCTACAAGATTCTTCGCCATTTGCATGGGCAGGCAGACTACTACGACGCAGCTGGAGATTTCTGGGATGTCGAGGGGCTCGAGGACGACTTGCGCTTGGCAAAGGTGCCAGGGGAGCAGGTCACATCCTCGTTAGCATCCTCCTTAGAACCTGACCTTGCGAACGCGAGCAGTTCAGCACAAACTAGGATCCATCGATGCCATGGCATTAGGTTTCGAGTTTTGGCATGTCCATTCTTCGCAACTTCTTCTCGGCGCACACGCGAGGCTTCAGCTAGTGCGCCTGCTGCAGCCAGTGCCACCCCTTCTGCGCCATCAGCGGCCGCGGCGCCAGCTAACCAGGTTCGTTCCGGGTCGGATGAGGTTTTTTGAGGGATAGCGTGTCTTTGCAACTGCAGACCCAAGGGAATCTTTTTGGGATCTGCAGCTTTAGAGAATTTGGTGTCCTTGTTTGGCTTACGGACATGTGTGCTGCGAGAGGGATCGTGATTGTTGGCTGTGTTGTTTTTGGATGGCCTACAGGAGCCAGGAGGGTTTGTTCAGGTTCAGACACGTCGTTTGATCCCGAGCTAGCTGAAGGCTGCCAGCAGCGGACAAAAGCTGTTTGACGAGCTGAAGTCTTTGGACCCTGCGGCTGAAAAGGCCTCAGTGCAATCTTTGTCTGTTCAGGATCTGACGTTGAGTGCACCGGGCTGTTTTAAGGAATTCTTGATCAGGGGGAGTGGTTGGGAGGGTGCAGCGTTTTGATCAGTGCAGAGCTGCTTAATACTGTTCTGAGGAGCTGTCGGTTTGGATCTGGGTGTTTAGATTCGTTCTTGCACTTCTTTAGGGTCTGTGAGATGGCTTCCGGATGAAGAAATCGAAATGAGGGTTGGGTCGCGGGGTTCTTGAGGATCGCCTACAAGATTCTTCGCCGTTTGCATGGGCAGGCAGACTACTACGACCCAGCTGGTGATTTCTGGGATGTCGAGGGGCTCGAGGACGACTTGCGCTTGGCAAAGGTGCCAGAGCAGCAGGTCACATCCTTGTTAGCATCCTCCTTAGCACCTGATTGCTGTGAACGGTTCAGTACAAATTCGGAGCCATCGATGCCATGGCGTTGGATTTCGAGTTTTGACATTGCCCTTCTTCACAAATTCTTCTCGGCACACCATGGAGGCTACAGCTAGCGCGCCTGCTGCAGCCAGTGCCACCCCTTCTGCGCCATCAGCGGCCGCGGCGCCAGCTAACCAGGTTCGTCCCCGGTCGGCTGAGGATTCTGATGGATAGCGTGTCTTCGCAGCTGCAGACCCCAGTGAATCTTTCGGGGATCTGCACCTTGAACAAAGGCGTCCTTGTTCGGCTTACAGGCATTTGCGCTTGGACAGGGATCGTGATTGTTGGCTGGACGAGCTTCAGAGGCCAGGAGGGTTTGTTCAGATTCAGACACGTCGTTTGATCCCGAGCTAGCTGAAGGCTGCCAGCGACGCACAAAAGCTCTTCGACGAGCTCAAGTCCGTGGACCAAGCAGCTAACAAGGCCTCAATGCAATCTTTTTTCAGCACGTGTGCTCGAGGTTGGTACCTTATTAAACTTATAACCCCAATTAAGGTACTTATAACCCTACTTACTAAGTCCCATGATCCTCCAAGTAGGTAGGTACCTGTACAGCATGGCATACTCACATTGATTCATGACGGAATCGCTGTCGAGAACAGATCTTCAGATATAGGCCCCGGGTCGGCCCTGTACTGCGTCGTCCCTTCTGGTACCCTTAAAGGGAACTCCAGAAAGTTGGAATATGGTTTCAGGGTAGGATACCCTATAATTTACCATAAAGGATTTAGGATAATCATATTCCAACTTTCTGGCTTTTACCTTAAAGAAGTCGTACCTCTTCTAGTTGTGAAGGCCCACAAGTGAGTTCTGGTTGTTTGAAAGGAAGTGGTCGGGAAGAAGGTTTTCCTATAATCAGTCTCCATGGTATCTCCTTTGTTGGTTAGCCGGTTTCACCGTTAAGTCTTGATTAACTACCTAAAGCGATCTTTAGAAAGGCAAAACAGGGAGCCCTGTTAAGACCCATAGCATAGAACTGCTTAACACAAGAGAGGAACTACAATTTTAACTACATTATCAGTACTATTTTGGGGGTTCTTCACTATAACTATACTATTAATATACCCAAAAGCCCTCTATCATAGAACCCTACCACAGATCCGTCGTAGAACCCGGAAAGGAAACCCCAAATCCTCATTCTAATTCCTAGGGTCCCATACCTCGACACCCCAACTGGCCTGTAATATACCCCCAAATGCCCACTGTTAAGGATCATAAGGACTGTATTGGAGGGCCCTCGGGGGTCCTGGTATATTAAGTGCCGCTCTGAGATGACCCAAGACTGGACCTTAGTTTAGGGCTTTGGGTTTAGGGTTTAAGGATTGAAATCTTTCGGTTTCGGGTTTAGGGTGTAGGCTTTCGGTTTCTGACTTAGGCTTGCTCCCAGGTACTTTCTTGCTTAGTTAGCCCTCACAAACGCATGTGCAGGAAGACTACTACGACGCTGCTTCTGATTTCTGGGATGTGGAGGGGCTCCGGGACGACTTGCGCCTGGCCAAGGTGGAGTGGGAACCCGGCAACAAGAATGCAACGCCCTACTCACTGCTTGGAGTGAATACCAGTCCTAAGCCCCAAGCCGAACGTCTGGAACCTCCCAATCCTAAAGTGCCAAACCCTTCAGCCCGTGCATAGTCTCGTTAAGCTGTATAAGTTCACACCTCAGAACATACATTTGAGACGATGGCATCGTTCAAGCTGCATGAAACCCTGAGGAACCGTGCTCCCGGAAGTACGAAGAACTACTGGCCTGCTATTAAGCAGAGCTTTATCTGCTAGAACCCATAGGGATTCCGTTAAGAGTTCCTTTCAGGGTTCCTTTCAGGGTTACCTTACAGGCTCCTTTCCGGGCTCCTGTCAGGGTTCCTTCTTGGGCTTCTTTGAGTGCTGCTTCAAAGGATTCCTTTTGGGCGCGGCAAACGGGAGCGAAGATATTCCTGTTTTCCTGAGAGGGTTTTAACAAACTCCTGAGCACGACAGGTTTAAGGGTTGAGGGTTTATAGTCAAGACCTGTAATACTGGGGCCCACTTCATTCTGTAGATGAGATCTGAAGAAGTGAAAACATTCTCCCTTTATGGTCCACAAAACCAGACTATGACATATCCCAAAACTCCATGACTCTATATTCTATCCCAACGCCCTAAAGTCTATGAGGATCATCTTTCTGATTACTGTCCGCACATGAGGAGTCATGTCCTTGTTTCGCGCCGTAGATCGCCGTAGAGGTGCGAAGGTCCCAGTCTTCCGAAATCCGATTTTTTAATGACCCGATACCAAAAGGAAGCTGTTTGGAGATGGGTTTGGGCCAGAGACTCCAATATCCCTTTAAGGAATATTCCTTAAATCATATTAGGGATCCTACTACAATTTAAGGTATATTCCTTAATTAAGGGATATTGGAGTCTCCGGGGGGTTTAATATGATTTAAGGTATATTCCTTATTTAAGGGATATTGGAGTCTCTGGTGAGTTCCATGCTCATGGTTTCGGGCTTAGGGGTTTGTACTTAAAGGATCATGGGACTTAGTAAATAGGTTATAATTGGGGTTATAAGTCCCCTAAGTGGGGTTATCCTAATTATAACCTACTTATAACCTTACTTACTAAGTCCCATGAGCCTTTAAGCAGACCCTAAATCCTAAACCCCATAGATCCCTGTAAGGAACCCTATAGGTCCCTTTTAAGGACCTTATAGTAGCCCCATGAGCCTTTAAGTAGTAGATGCAGGCATCGGCTGCAACTGCTCCTGCCGCAGCGGCGGCTGCAAGATCGCCTGCGGCGCCTGCCAAGCAGGCTGCTTTCGGCTAAAACCTCTATATAGGGACCCAAAAAGGCACATAAGAATAAGCATTTTATAGGGATATCCCTGGCTTAATGGGCTTCATTAGGGGGGTTTATATGGGATATCCTTATCCTGCCAAGCAGGCTGCTTTCGGCTAACACCTCTACTAACCGTTGATATTGGAGGAGCCAAGGAGCCAGGGATGATGATAATCCCTATCAAATAAGGAGCTAAAGCGCCAAGGGACCCCAAAACCACTGGTTAGTCTATACAAGCCATATGATCAATTCTCTTGCAGCCCTTGTGTAAAAGCATCTAAAGCTCGTATCCATCCCTTGTAGAAGCCTTTTGCAGCTGGTATGCAGCCCTCGTGAAAACGAAACATATAGAAGCCTTACAGAAAGCATGCAAAGTCCCACAGCAGCCATTGAATCGCCATACAAACCCTTGCTGAAACCCCCCCCAGAAACCAGATAAGCCTACCGTATAGAACCCTGTAAAAAACCTGCCAAGTAACAGCATCTTGCAAGTACAAAGCTTCACAAAACCCTATAACACACCTTCACCCCCACCTCTAAACCCCAAACCCTAAAGCCCCAGACCCTAGACCCTGAACCCTGAGACCCCTAAACCCTAAAGCCTAAACCCCTAAACCCGAAACCCGGAACCCTGGACCCCGAGGATCTAGAAGGTAGATCCCTTATCTTAATGGGGGTTCTTATCAAGTACCCTTAGTAGTATAGGGTCCCAAAACGGTAGTTCTACTTTCTAGATCCCTCTAAACCCTAAACCCTTAAAGAACTCGTGGTCGGAAGCACAGAGGTTCTCGCCCTGGGTTACTTCTTCGCGGTAGTAAGACGGACCCTGGGGTTTTGGGGCTTGGGATTTAGGTTTAGTTTGTAGGGTTTAGGGTTTTTTTGGGGTTTGGGCTTGAGAGACGGAACCGGGTACCCAATCCCCCTTTCCCGCTAAACCCTTGGGTTTTGGGGTTTGGGATTTAGGTTTAGGATGTAGAGTATGGGGTTAAGGGTTGAGGGTGGAGGGCGTAGCGTTTGGGGCTCAGGATTGAGAGTGTAGGCTTTCGGGTTAGAGTAGTTTAGCGCATGGTTCAGATCATGATTTGCGTATTAGATCAAAGTGGACTAGTGTTTATCAAGGAAAGGGGCAGGGTTCCGGGTATACGGTGTTTAATATATTGAGTACAGGGTTACAGGGGCCTTAAATAATCAGAACAGGGATTTGGTGTATATTGTATTCTACTTAAAATAAGGAACCCTACTTGGAGGATCATGGGACTTAGTACGTAGTAGGGTTATATCTACCTTAGTTGGGATTATAAGTAATTATAACTGTAGTTACCATACTCACAACCCCAAATACTAAGTAAGTCCCATGATCCTTTAAGTAGACCCTAAACCCTAAACCCTTATAGTACCCCTATAGACCCCTTAAAGGGAACCCTTAAGGACCCCAATTACTGCTCCTCCAAGTACATTATGCAGTTTGCTCTGCTTGGTGTTTAGGGCCTACCTGGACCCTGCATGCACAACCTACCTTTTTTCGGGACTTATAGAAGGAACTCACTCTGAAAAGGCAGGTTCTTTAGGATCCAGGTAGTGTCGTAGAAGGGACCCTAATTCAGAGAACTACCCTTATGGGCTCAGGTGAATGGCCACAGCAATTCAGCTGCCCTCAAGGCGCTTCGGCGAGCTAGGAACTTGTCAAGTCTTAATAAGGGCTCCTTTAAGGGCACTGCTGGATTCTATAGTGGGACCCCCCTTAATTAATAACAATGGGGTTCTTTCAAACGAGGTTTACAGGGTTTGACAAGGTTGCAGCTGTTGAGCCACAATCATCTTAATAGGGTTTGGGGGATGCTAAAACCATGCATATATGTGCTTATCGAGGCTAGGGCTTCAGTGTTGTTGGGGTTTCGGGGTTTAGGGTTTGAGCTCTCTTCAGGGTTTAAGAGCCTCTTAAGGTTTGGGTTTCGGGTGTACCGGGACCTTGACAAACCTACCTTGGGTACGGCCCCCACTCAGTAATAATTGAATATTCATAATATAGATATAGTAGGACCTTAATAGTAGCCCTATTATACCCTAAACCGTAAACCCTAAACCCCTAAACCCTAAACCCTAAACTCTTACTGTATTTGGGCCGTACCTAAAACCTACCTATTTCCTGTCCTCGACGCCGCCTGCTTGACTTATCGTAAACCCCATAAAGTTGGAATCCGGGTTGAGGCCAAATAGTGCTGGGATTCCCTCTACATTACTCTTGAGGATTGAGGCTATGGGGTTTCCAAGTTTTGGGCTTCTACTCTAGTCAGTGCGGTTAAGGGTCCCTTTTAGGGTTCTATGAGGCTTCTTTAGGGGGCTTAGGGTTAAGAGTACTGAAAGGATCATGGGACTTAGTAGCTTAAAGGGCGTTTCAGCATTTAAGGATTTTAAAGGCCTAAACCTTAAACCCTAAACCCCAAATCCTTTTCAGGGGTGTCGGGTTTCAGGTTTTAAGGGTTTTAGATACCTAAACCTTAAACCCTAAACCCCAAATCCTTCTGAAGGGTGTCGGGCTTCAGGTTTTAAGGATTTTACATGCCTAAACCTTAAACCCTAAACCCCAAATCTTACACAAGGTTGTCGAGTCGCCGGCTTAGAGGGTTTTAAAGGCCTGAAATCCCTAAACCCTATGTACATAATTAGGGTTTAGGGTGTAGAGTTTTGGGGTTTGGGGTTCAGGGTTTAGGCAGGTTACTTTGGGTTTTTAAACCTGAAAACCTGAATCCCCTACTTGGAGGATCATGGGACTTAGTAACTAGGGTTATAAGTATTCATAATTGTAGTTTCCTTACTTATAGCCCCATTTCTAAGTCCCATGATCCTTTAAGTACACAGCAGGAGCCGCCCAGGGATCTTCGTCTCACAAAGAAGGCTCGGTGGAGCTTTTGTTTCGTGGTTTTTGTTTGTTTTTTTTTTCAAGCTTAGGGCCTGGGTTTTGAGGTTTCGGGTTCGTTGAGGGTTTGTAGAGTTTAGGCATGAGGGATCTGGAAGTTTACAAGTTGAGGTGTTTGTTTGAGGTTTTGGCTAAGGGTTTACGTAGGGGGGCGGTGCATAGGATTCGGGGGTTGGATAGATTTTCGAGGTTCAGGTTTGTGGGTTGGAGTTTAGGGTGTTGTCCAAGCTACCTCAGTCGCTCGTTACCACATTGTTCTGGCTACCTTGGCTCGCCAAACAAGGCCTCTTTCATCCATGGTCGTTGAGCCCTGTAACATAAATCCCTAAACCCCTACCCAGACCCCCGGGAGGATCCACAAAAAAACAGATCCCTTAATGGGGGTTCCTATAAAGTACCCTTAATAGTATAGGGCCCCAAATTAGGGGATCTACTTTCTAGACCCTCCCGGGGGTCTGGGTAAACCTTACACCCAAACCCTAGTCCGGGAATCATCGGGACCTTGGGCTGCGGTGACAAGCGAGGCTGACCTTCAGGAAACATGACACCGCCCAAGAGGGTCCATATACATAGGTGTGTGTGTGTGTGTGTGTATACGCGTGTGTGTATATATATATATATATATATATCATTATAAAATATATGTATATGCATATAGTTATATAGACGCCTACATACATATATACACATACATATGCATTTTTATGGCTATCTTTGCCCAGTGCCATAATAAGGATGGCTTTTGGGGGACCTATTGGGACCTTCTTCGTCTAGAGATACTAACCTCGGCATGATGTCATGGGGCATAGTGTATTCAGAAGGTGTTTAAGGTTTGCGGTTTAGGGTAGCGCTCTCCTTTAGCCATCGCTCTTATAATTAGCACTCACCCAGCTTCGGTACTGTGCATTTGCCCATGAATCACTAAGCCTAAACTGCTCATAAAATAGTAATAAGTTTGATGCCTCAGTTATATCTAACCCCTAAAGCCATGGGGTTTCTAGATTACCAGGTAGACCCTAAACCTTGTTTTTGAGGGTTCGCAGTTGCCGTGGTGGGAAGGATCCGAAAGCGCCGGACGTGCCACCCGTGCCCCAGCTGCCGGACAAGGGTTGTTAGAGTATAGGAATCCGGGTTTGGTGCCCAGGGTTCAGGGCTTGGAGTTTAGGCTTCAGGGTTTAGGGTGGAGGGTTCGGTGTTTAGGGTTCAGGGTTGGGCGGGGTCCGGGGTCGGGGTTTAAACAGAAGCCCTAAACCCTAAGCACTGCACCCTAAACCCAATTTTCAAGACCCCCAAAAGACTGACGTTCGTCATAACGACCCCATAAAGAAGGCACCGCTAACCGTATTCAGGAAACCGGAAAGCCCTTAATTGAGGACTGTGCCTCCAGCCACATTAAGGATACCTCTTCAGTTTCAGGTCTACTCCTGAAGTCAGGGTTGTCTAGGCGCCGGCAAGTCGGCGATGCTTCTGTGGGGGTGGCGGGTTTCCGGATCAAGTTTTAAAGTGTTGGTTTAGGCTTTGGGGGATTTTGAGGGGCTTTTGGTGGGTTAGACCCTAAACCCTAAACCCTAAACCCTAAACCGGGTTAGGGCTTAGGAGGTGCTTGCGAGTTCGGTTTTGGGCACCCCAGCCGTAAGCCCTCCGCCCCAAGCCCTGCACCCTGCACCCTGAAGATCCTCTAGGATCCAGAGTGGGCCCTTATTCCCTTTTTTAGGGTTTAGGTTCCCTTATAACACCCTTTAAAACAAAAAGGGCACCCTTTTTATTCCTAGGTTACTCTTAGGTCTAGTCCTTATGAAACTCCTGTAACAAAGCTCTTTCAAAAGACCACACGGGTAGGAATACCTAGTAAGTAAACCCCAAACCCTAACCACCAAACTCTAAACCCAAAACCCCTTAACCCTAACACGCTAAACCCTAAACCCCTAAACCCTAAACGCGTAAAGCGTAAGCTCCCAAAAGACCAACTCGAGCCCAGGCGAATGGCGAGAAAAACCCGAAGCAGCTCTTCCTCGAGCTCCAGGCAGTTGATCCAGCAGCCGTCCAGGCCCCACAAGAGCGGGGGTGAGAGGGGGGGAGGGAGGGGGGTCAGGGGTTTAGGGTTTAAGGTTTAGGGTTAGGGGTTTAGGGGTTAGGGTCTAGAGAAATATAACGCACAGGATCAGGGTACATAATTGGGGCGTCATTACAAGGGTCCGAAACATGGCAGCAAATTAGTTCTTGCCAGTAGCCCGAAGGAGGGCCCTTGCAAGCCTACTCCTACCTGTGACCCCAAACCCTACAAAATAGCAGGTTATGACCCTTAATTAGAGGCTAGAACCCTTAAAACGATAGGTTTTTGGATCCCCAGGTAAGTCCATTGAGCTATGCCTTTTATTGTTTTCATGGTTATAGACTATAGGGGTTTTACGTGCATGGCTGTTTAGGTTGTAGGCTGAAGCCAGAAGCCCTGAAAGCTTTACCGCCTTTACCCTACTTGGAGGATCATGGGACTTAGTAAGTATGGTTATAAGTACCTTAATTGGGGTTATAAGCAGCTATAACCGGAGTTACCTTATTTATAACCCCAATTACTAAGTCCCATGATCCTTTAACCCTAGACCCTTATGGATCTCTTATAGATCCCCTTTAAGGAGCTTTTTAAGGAGCCCTTTAAGTAGGCCCTGAACCACTTGATCTTTTAAGTAACCGTCTGAAGCTCACAACCCTTAGCCCTCAAGGCGCCGATCCCACAAAGCCCACAACCAAGCGCTGAACTCTAAACCCCCCAAACCCGAAACCATGAAGGGGTTTAGGGGTTTAGGGCTTAGGGGTCTAGGGGTTTAGGGTTTAATTAGAGGTTTGGGGTTTTAGGGTTTAGGAGTTTAGGGGTTTAAGGTTTAGGGGTGTATAAACCCTCTAAGCCCTATAAGCCCTAAACCCCAAAGCCAAGCCAGGAAGACTACTACGATGCCGCCTCTGACCTCTGGGATGTCGTTGGGCTCGAAGACGACTTGCGGCTGGCCAAGGCGACGAGCAGGGAGTCGCTGGTAGGGTTTAGGGTTTGGGGTTTAGGGCTTAGGGTTTAGGGTTTAGGGCTTAGGGCTTAGGGTTTAGGGTTTAGGGCCTAGGGTTTAGGGTTTAGAGCTTAGGGTTCAGGGTTAAGGGTTAAGGGTTAAGGGTTTAAGTGTTAGTGAAGGGTTTAGGGTTCAGGGTCAAGGGTTTAGGGTTAAAGGTTAAGGGTTTAGTGTTAGTTAAGGGTTTAGGGTTAGTTAAGGGTTTAGGGTTCAAGGTGGGTCAAGTGTAGTGGCCTGTAGCTCCACCAGACATGCCAAAACCCTTTAATTAAGGGAGCGTGATTTATGGCATATTCCTCAACTACAGCATGGTTCTTTTGATTTGATAAGGCGTCTTTCCGAGGTTTTGGTTGGAAATTAACGGATTGTATGGTCTTTGTTGTTAATAAGGTCGGAGAAAAGAGTTGGGAGGTTGTTTTCAACTATGAGGATTTCACAACTGTTTTGGGAGTTCAGGGTTTAGGCTTTGGGGCTTTCGTCATTTAGGTTTAGTAAGGCTACCGCAGCACCAAACACTCCAAACTCCCAACCCTACAGAAAAGATCATGTGACTCAGTAATTGGGGTCATCATAAGTGAGGCAACTACAGTTCTAATTACTTATAAGCCCAAGTAGGGTACTTATAACCCTAAACCCTAAACCCTAAATCCACCTACATACTAAGTCCCATGATCCTCCGATTAGGAAGTGTAGCGGAACGGCATCGGGCTTTCTCAGGCTTGCGGAGTGTAGGCAGATCGTCGTCCGGTGGTAGTATAGTTGCCTTCATGATTAGAATAGTGCTTCTTTAAGTTTCGGGTTTAGGGTTCAGAGTTCAGGATTCAGGGTTTAGGGTTTAGGTGTCTGTATACTCAGAATAGGGTTCCGTTAAAGGGGTATCAGGGCCCTAGAGTTCAGGCCACTCTGGCTTGAGTGAGGGGTGGGAATAGTTACCACGTAGTGCTGAGTGTTTCTTGTTCCTTAGTATAGAGTATACTATACCCCCAAGAGTCCCAAGTACTTGATAATCATACACTCCCCAAAATCCTAACATACACAACTACTGTCCCAAAACCGACTACCTAATTATTGGGTCTGTTGGACCGTTAGGGTACTGCACACAAAAACCAGTCAAAACAATTAAGGTCGCTATATACATAGGGCCTTATAGGAGGCCTAAGTCCTGTCCTCCAAAGCATCAGGAACATGAGCGATCCTGAGTACCCTTTTATGGCCACATCGGGCTCTTGGCGCAAGCATAAACCCGTATGAAATCCGTTTAGGGCTCTTCTAGTGATCTTACAACCCCCGATAAAAGTCGGAATCCTAAACCCTAAATCTTAAACCCTAAGCCCTACACCCCCGAGAAAGCCGGAACCCTAAACCCTAAACCTTGAAACAAACCCCTACTTGAAGGATCATGGGACTTAGACATTGGGGTTATAAGTAAGGTAACTGAAGTTATAATTAATTATACTTACATTTCACCTTATTCAAGGTACTTATAACCCTACTTACTAAGTCCCATGATCCTCCAAGTAGACCTTAAGTTCGACCTGCATAAAAACCAGCTCTCGGATCCCAACTCCTAAACCCTAAACTCCTAAACCCTACCTGGACACTAGAGAACCTACCTTTTCAGGGCTCCGTATTATGATTTCTTTGTACAAGTCCTTAACAAGGTAGGTTCTTTATGGTCTACGTAAAACCGAAAACTGAAAACTTTAATCCTCGACCGTAGACCTTTTTTTTGCCCCTTGGCTCTGCCTGGGAGGCCACATCCTCTGGCACAGCTGCTCGATGGCAAGCCTTGGCGTCCTGATAAGCGTGTTGAGACGGGTTTAGAGGTTGTTCATAATTGTTATAGTCTGCTGTAGTACATCGGGGCAATCATGATACGGGTTTCTGCAAGGGTTCGCAGAAGGGTTCACAGGGTGTTGACAGGGTTTTGTCTTAGACCCACCAGAACATTAGGATTTCTGCACAAACCATTTCGGGGAGGGGGGCTCATTAACCAGGGGTGTACATTCTTATGCAAGGTAAGCTCAGTAGCTATTCCTTGCGTTCCTCATTGAATATTTATACAATTTGCAAATATACCAAAATGTGATAAATCTAAACCCTTTTCGAGATATTAACGTCCCTATATCAACGCCTAAACTCAACACAGCGAATAGAAAAGGTGCGAGTCATCCTCAACCCGAAATTGTACACCCAAAAACAACTCGAACCGGCCGTCAAAACAGAAGCCTATGAGCTGGGCAACTGAGCAACTAAGTTAGGGACCGATAAGTCACCTAAGCATAGTTTGGGTTTAGTCTGAGAGGTATAGGGCCTAAGCATAAGCCATCGACAACCAACACCCTAACCCCTAAACCCTAAACCGCCCAAATCTGACAAGTAGGCAACAGCTATCAACAGACCATGCCGGCTTTGGTTCGTGGAGCTAGCGCACTGGGAAGTTGATGCTTCAGACCCCACGGAGCGTGGCGCTGTTAGGCTAGGACCTACAATGGCCCTGATTCCCTTCTTTAGGGCTCACTTATAACTTATAAGCCCCTTTACACCAGAAATGGCACCCTTTTTGTTCCTAGGTTACTCTTGGGTGTAGTAGGGTGATGGCTATCCCTGAATTTAATGCGGGCTTTGCTTCGCTGATAGAGGAGGATGCAGAGGTCACATTGCAGATTGAATCACATCTGTAAGGAGCAGGCAAACAAGTTGCGCCAAGTCGTTAAGGGCCGCTTCACTACCACGCTAACCCATAAACACTTAACGACAATCCCTAAACGCAAAGCCTTCAATCTTAAGTCCGAAATCGTCCCCTAAACCCTAAACCCTAAATCGTCTGTCAGTCGAGCCCCTCGTGTAGGAATCCCGAAATCTGACGCCCTGGGTTCCGGGTTTGGGGCTTAATTCTGGAAGCAACTAACCAGGAGGGTCCATATATACTACCATTATGGAATTAGGCCCCCAAAGCCATAATGGGGATGGTCTTTGGGGACCTAATTCCATAATGGTAGTATATATGGACCCTCTGGGTAAGTATGGTAGAAGAGCAAGACTTGTAGCCACCCGAAAACCACCTCCGAATACACGAGCAGCGAAGCTCCAAGTGAACGCTTGGATCGTGCGTATTTTTGCCGCGACCTCTAAGACTGTTCCGAAACCCTAAACCCTAAACCCAAAACCCAAAACCCTAAACCCTAAACCCTAAACCCAATGTTTAGGGTTTGGGTCTAGGGTTTAGGGATGTTCAGGGTTTAGGGTTGGTGCAGTTGCATATGCCAGTTGTACCACGTCCTTGGAAATCAAGAGGGTCCCTCCCAGTTCAGTTGAAGTCAAGTGAAAGATTAGCAGTGCGTCTAGGTATTGTGGCGCATATGCCCGCTTTGGAACCTGATTGCGATGACTTCATAATGTCATAACATGACATCATTCTGTAAGGGTTCGTGTTTACCAGTTTTTTGACCTGCTTCAAAGGCAGTTCAAGCTAGATCCCAAACCCTTGTTTGAAACGGTCTCCAAAAACACATGTTCAGAAAAAAACGACAGCTTGTTCCGTGTTTCTGCCTCGCTTTTGCCTTGCGACGTGCGCAACTGAGCAAGGCATCCGTCTTCAAAGGTGTTTACGCTTTCGGCCAGTGCTGCATGAGCTTAGGGTTTAGTGTGCAGGTTTTTTGAGGTGTAGCGGGAGAGATTGCAAGGTGAGTGATTCTCAATCCCGTTGACAGATTACGTAAGCCGGACTGCAAATCCGTACCCGGGACCCTACTTCAAGGATCATGGGACTTAGTAAGTAGGCTGGTTTATAAGTACCTAAATTTGGGTTATAAATACATACTATTGTAGTTACCTTACATATAACCCGACGTACTAAGTCCCATGATCCTTTAAGTAGACCCCAAATCTGAGATCGTTTCCACACCCGGTGCGTTCGGGACTTGGCTTGGGGTTTCCGGTCAAGCAGTCATTGCTTGAATCCTGGCCACCCAGAGGTTCCAATATCACTTAAAGAAGGAATGTTCCTTAAAAAAATTGGGGATCCTACTATAGTTTAGGGTACAGTCCCTAGTTAAGGGATATTGGAGTCTTTCGGTAACCCCCATCATGAGCCTGGCAACTTCACCTTTCGGATCATCAGGGTAGGTAGCAAGTAAAGTTATGATCGGCTTAATTTGAGCTTATAAATCAAGTACTTGTAGTACAAATGCCCTGCTTTTCATCCTTTGGTTTCTAGTTCTCATGGCCTGTCTTGTTGGACACGTACAATCTCCAAATCAGAAACAACTTGCTACGGCCAGTGCACCTTGAAGTGTGGGGGTTAAAGCACAACGACCCTACACCTTGAACCCAGCCCGAAGCGCTGAGCATTATAGCCCCCTCAAGCCACATCTAATTACGCACTACTCAGACCGCTGCGGCTGCAGCCGCAGATGGCTCGACGCTGCCACTGGGTTCGAAATGAGCCCCAGGGTTTAGGCTTTGGGGTTTATAAGGTTATAGCAGGGCACAGGGCCCAGGGTTTAGAGTTGGATGTACGAGGTTGACGAATCAGGTGACATTGTTTGTCACAACTCCCAGCGCAGCCACAGCATGAAATCTACAGGGAAAGAATCTTGCTGTTTGGACATCTATCTTTTCAGTAACTGAGGAGTCAGCTGGGTGGAATTCGAGCTGCGTATCCCATGAGGAACTGTATTCCCAATACGGTGCTTGCAGCCGTATTTCTCAGGATCTAGCTTTCTTTTCTACACGTCTGCGGTACATGAATGTGTTTTGGAGTCTCTGAAATATAAACCTCAAGCAGTCTTAAGTCACAAGTCCAAGGTTAGGAACGGTCTCTTCATGCTGGAGTGTTTGGACTTGTTTGTGTCTTGGGTTATCAAGCATTTAACGTTTCGGGCTTCGGGTTGAAGCTTCATGCCGGAATTGAGCCCTAAATCCCATTATGATACCCTGTTTGTACCTTGTGGATGCCGTCATTGTGTTTGGGGTTGAGGGTTTAGGGTTTGGGGAAAGGGGTTTCCCGCCGCAGGTTAGCCGAGCTGCGTGTTTATGACAGTACCGTCACGAAGGTTCGACAGCCTTGGGTGCGGTCTTGGGATGTCTTGGGATACTTCTTTCAGGCGTTAAAAACTTTAAATTTCGGATCCCCGCTATAAGCCTGGCTAAAGCAAGCGGGGTAATATGCAGAATTCGACATTAGTATGCAGCCCGGGGAGAAAATACAGCTCTTGTGTCCAGGATTGCCCTAATCCGCTGTGAGAAGTGCGTGCTTCCGCTACTATAGGGGCCTAAATAAGTACCAAAACTGTTTTGGGGGTTCTTTGTTCTAATCATAGTATAACGGGCCCCATAACCCTATTCTAATCTGTTAAGGCCCCTACCCTAAATCCTTATAATAGCCCTGAAAGTCGTCCTTAAAAGCCCCTGTAAAAGGGAGCCCTTTAAAGGAACCCTATTCTAGTTCCTATACTAGGCCATGCCTAGGGCTTCGGTTCAGGGCTTGGTACGCTACTTGGAGGATCATGGGACTTAGTAGGGTCCTTACGGGTTTCCTTAAAGGGTTCTACAAGAGATCTAGGGTTTAGGGTTTAGGGTTGAGGGTTTAGGGTTTAGGGTTTAAGGAACATGGGACTTCGTCAGTAGGGTTACAAATACCTTAACCGAGGTAATCAGCAATTATAACTGTAGTTACCTGACTTACAGCCCCAATTACTAAGTCCCATGATCGGTGGGAAGGGGCGGTGCTATGGGCGGTTTGCATGGGTTCTTGTAAAGGAACCCCACCCGATCCATAGCTATGGCAGTTGCTATGTTTTAATAGGATTTTGTCAAACATTATTTCGCGCGAAAATGAACATTGTTGTGCAGAAACGTGGTTTCAGCAAGTCGTGCGCGAAAGCTGAGAAAAGCGCGCGCGACAAGCCATTTTAGGGTTTTTAAGGTTAATAATAAGGAAGCGAGCTTATCTAGAAACCATCCCTATCATGGTAACTTAAGGTATGCGCCTCAACAAGAACCCCAGAAGTACCCCCAAAAGCCCTATTATGGAAGAGTATGCCTGGACCCTTGACCTCTGGAGCCTGAAACCTAACCCCTAAACAGAGGTTTGAAGAAATAGCCGCAGTCTTCCCCCACAGTCCTTATATGATAGTTCTCCAAACTAAGGTCCCTCTTCAGCTCTCCAAAATAGTATGGTATGCTTGAGAAAAGGACTAGACTGGAATAGGCTCCAAAACGCTAGTCTACTCCCGTAAACGCTACTTAAAGGATCATGGGACTTAGTAATTGGGGTCATAAGTACGGCAACTACAGTTAAAATTACTCATAACCCTCGTTAAGGTACCTATAGCCCTACTTACTAAGCCCCATGATCCTCCGAGTAAACCCGAAACCCTAAACCCTATAGTAGAAGCCAGAAAGTTGGAACATCAGACTCCTCATGCCCTTAAGGTAAAGTATAAGGGATTCTAGCACTAATCCTCCTAAAGCCATATTCCAACTTTCTGGCTTCTACTATAATTGTGCAGGCCCCCAGACAAAGCAGTGTTCATCCTTGAAAGTCAGAAGCCTGAAGGTTCAGGGTTAAGGGGTTTTCTACTATTTGCTTAAGAAACCCCCAAAAAATAAAAATAATAATCCCTATAATACCCCCATAAGGAATATATTTTTTATTTTTTGGGTGTTCTTAAGCAAATAGTAGTTTTGGGTTTAGAATTCAAGTTAACAAGGAGGGCTGTTAGTTCTTTGTTGGTGCTACTTCCACAGGCGTTTGTAGCCTCTGGTGCCCGACAATAAGGAAGTGTACTCACACAGAGGAGGGCTTTGGTGTTTAGGGTTAGGGCTAGTTTAGGGTTTGTGGCTTTTGGCTTTGGGGTTTAGTTAGAGTTTAGGGTCTAGGACCCTGAACCCGGCATCAGGAGGATTACTTCGATGCGGCCTCACGAACTTGGGACATTGAAGGTCTTGAGGCGGATTTGCGCCTGGCGAAGGCGGGGTTCAGGGTTTAGGGTTTCGAGTGAATCCGCGAATTTCTTCGCTATTCTTATACTTGCCGTTGCCAGTTCGTTTCTTCTTGCAAGTCATAGTTTGGCTTGTGCCTTTTCGTCGTTCTCTTATCAAGTCTGCACGCATCGGAACTCAGTTCTTCTATCTTTCCTCGTGGCAGCTTCTCGTTCCTTTCTTCATCGTTCCTGTCTTGCGACATCCGTGCATGCTTGACATTTGTTGGGTTGAATGTGATCTTCAGGGCAGGAGAATCAGCAACACTAGAATGGTCCTTCTCCTGGACCCAAGCCCAAAATCTTAAGCACTAAATCCCTAAACTCTACACCCTAAACATCGAACGTAGCCCGTTCTGGGCTATTAGGGATTAAGTCTCACGACGGCAACCTAAAACGAAGGCCCTCAAGAAAGGCCCGGTTGAATGTGGGTTATTGTCACAGTGCGCGGGCAAAACGGACTTCAGCGCATTTTGTTACAATACACAAAAAAATCGCTTGTCGCAGGATCTGCCGAACTCACATGCCCCGGTGTGGGGCGGTATCATCAAGAATAAACTTAGGGGTACTTAGAAATACGTTTTAATTTTTGGTTATTATACTCCCTAAGAAACAGCTAAAAGTATAATTTCTGCCAGGGTTCTAAGTTCAGCATAGAAGCCACTAAAGTCTACTTAAAGGCTCATGGGACTTAGTAAGTAAGGTTATAAGTAAGTTATAACAAAAAGCTGGGGTTCTAAATTCAGTATAGTAAAGTTAGACGGCCCCAAACCCTAAAGCCTTGGCCTGGTGACCTGCTCGCCCAACCGGGCTTTCGTGAGGCGATATGCCGACCGAAAAGCAGCCCTTATTAAAGAAAGAACCTACTTAAAGGATCATGGGACTTAGTAGCTGGGGTTATAAGTAAGGTAAGTATAGTTATAATTACTTATAACCCAAGTTAAGGTACTTATAACTCTACTGACTAAGTCCCATGATCCTTCAAGTAAGCCTGAAGTGCGACCCCAAGGGTCCAAGTACTTGATAATCAGATACTCTCCAAAATCCTAACTTACATGACTACTATCCAAAAACCGAGTACCTAATTATTAAGGCCCATATAATAAAACCCTTATAGTAACCCTGTTTAAAGGAACCTTATAGATCCCCTTTAAAGGAACCCTTTTAAAGGAACCGTATAGAACCCTTGAAAGGAGCCCTAATTATTAGGTCTTTTGGGCCCTTAGGGCTAAACCTAAGCAACCCTGAGCCCGGCACCGTGCGCCTGTAAAGCCATCGACCTTCGATCCTGGACCCTACCCAGAGCCTTAAAACCCCAAAAGCCCTATAAACCCTAAACCCTAAACCCTGAGCCGAGCATGTCGTGTTTTGATTTTGTAGTGTGAACCCAAACACTGGGTGGGACGTCGGCAGGAGAAAGGCCCCAACACACTTAAAAAAAAAAAGCCCTAAGCCGTAAACCCTAAGCCCTAAACCTTAAACCTGAGCCCTAAACCTTAAACCCCGAATCCCTAAACCCTAAACCTCTGCCCATGTCGGGTCGTGGAACACGACGTCGGCGAGTGCAGTCCCGTGTTGAGCGTAGTAGGAGCCGAGACGATGATGTATAGTTTGTCAGTGATCTGTGATTGCCCTGGTGGTAAGGTCAGGAAGGTCTCATGGGTCGCTTCTCAGTGCACGCCCCGTAGGTGTGGCAGGCGACGCTCTGAAGCTGTGCACCAGAAAGACGCCTTTGCACTTAAAAAAAAACCCTAAACCCTGTCAAGCAACTGCCCGAGAACCTCGAGGCCGAAGCCCCAAACCCAAAAGGAGCCCTTTGGACCCTAAGCCCTGAACTTAGGGGTACCTAGAACTAATTTTTAGGTTTTGGTTATTACAATCCCTAAGAAACAGCTAAAAGTCTAATTTTTGCTAGGGTTCTAAGTTCAGTATAGTTAATCCTGAACCCCCAAAATCCCTAAACCCCAAACCCCAGGGCTCGGCCATTGAGAAGCTAGAGGCCTCCACCATCAAGGTGCGGATTTTGTTTTTTTTTGGGCTTCTGTTGCGGGTTCCTTTAAGGGTTCATTGAAGGGTTCCTTGAATGGTGCTATAGGGCTTAGGGCTTGCGGGTTAGGAGGCAAAGGGTTTGGGCCGGTTTGGGACTTGGAGTCTGCCTGGAGGACCATGATGGGACTTAGTAAGTAGGGTAATAAGTACCTTAAGTAAGGTTATATGTACCTATAACTTCAGTTACTTTACGTATAACCCCAATTACTAAGTCCCATGATCCTTTCAGTAGGATGGATCTGACTCTGACAAGGGCTAAACCTGAAACCCTAAATCCTAAACAAACTCAAAAGGCTTCCTCAAAGGGCTCCTCAAAGGGTTCCTGAAAAGAGCTCTGTCGGGATTTAGGGGTTAGGGCTAAAGTTTATAGGGTTCAGGGCCACTTGGAGGTTCATGGGACTGAGTAGGTACAGTTTTAAATTTCAAAATACGTACGTTGTCGCGTTATTGGGGTTACAAGGCATTACAAGCAGGGTCACATTACTTCTTAAGTCGCATGATCCTTTAGGAAGGGTTTCTTAAGGGCTTAAGATGTTTCTTGCAGGTGATGGTTTTTGTGCGGTTCGTATAGCATTTATGCGGGTTTTGTATGTGTTTGTTAAAGTTCTATCATGGGCTTTCACCGGTAAGGGTTGGAGGTTATGGGCCATGGGTTTAGGGGTTCAGGGTTTCGGGTTGTTCACCGTGTTCAGCGCACTATAAGGGAGTAGGGCATGGTTTACGGCTAAGGGTTTCGTATTCCTATACAAATTGCAGACTAATATACTCAAGCCTCATAGTTGAGGCCTGCGCAGCAGGGCCTCGTTTTGGTGTATTTTGGGGTGTCAAGATGCAGCCGTAGCTTAAATTTCCGCTGGCCAGGTCAGCCTTATTTGGAGGATCATGGGACTTAGTAAGTAGGTTTATAAGTACCTTGACTGGGGCTCGGCTATAAGTAACTATAACTGTAGTTACCTTACTTATAACCCCAATTCCTAAGTCCCATGATCCTTTAAGTAGACCCTAAACCCTACACCCTTATAGTACCCCTATAGATTCCAGTAAATGGACCCCTTAAGGACCCCAACTACTAAGTCCCAGAGTACTGGAGTGGACAGGTGAATGGCCCCAAAATCCCTAAACCTCAAACCCCAAACCATCCTAAACCCCACATTCCTTAAACCTTAACTCTTACAGGAGCCCTTAAAGGGACCCTTATAGATCCCTTCAAAGAGATCCGAAAAGTACTGGAGTGGACAGGTGAATGGCCGCAACGGCCTCAACGGCGTGAACGGCGCGAGCAAATCGAACGGCGAGAAGTCGGGTGCAAAGCTCTTCGAGGCGCCTTTGCTGTGAAGGGTCATGGGACTTAGTCTCCTTAAAGGGATCCTTAAAGGTTTAGGGTTTAGGGGTTCCTTAAAAGGGATCTATAAGAGATCTTTAAGGCTTTAGGGTGTAGGGGTCATGGGACATAGTCATCGGGGTCCTTAAGGGGTCCCATTAAGGGATCTATAGGGGTACTATAAGGGTTTATTTAGGAGGGTACTTCAAGGATCATGGGACTTTCGTCATTGGGGTTTATATATGAGGTAACTACGGTTATAAGTACTTATAGCCCCAATGCAGGTAGTTATCGCCGTACTTCCAAGTGCTTGCCAGGCCTTCCAAATTTTGAGGCTGCCGGCCCAAAATCCTCCAAAGCTCTAAACCCTTACAGTACCCTTGGAGAGCCCTTTGGAAGGAACCCTTCTAGAGCCCGCTAAACGGAACCCGTATAGAGCCCTCTCCTTTAAGACTTTAAGAGGAACCCTGATATAGAGCCGTTTAATCAAAAGGAACGTTTATAGAGCCCTTCAAAAGGAAATCTAACAGTGCCCTTTACAAGGAACCTTTCGTAGAGCCCTGGAAATTCAAGGAACCCTTTTGGAGCCCTTCAACATAAACCTTTGCAGAGCCCTTTTCAAGAACCCCCAGCCGACCCTAAACCCTAAACCCTAAACCCCCAACCGAAGCCCTGAAGGTCTCAAGCAACTCCCAACCTCAAGATGATCCACCCCTGGCGTTCAGAGGTTTTTGAGCCGCAAGCGACGTAGAAGCTTCAAAAACCGTATAATATAGTAATATGGGAGTTTCCGAAAATCAGGGGTGCCGTTTTCTGGAGTCCTTATAATAAGGATCCTACTATTTAGGGTACTGTGTACTGTGTTAGTTAGGGTCTCCTATTGTCGGAAACTCCCATATACCTATCGTATATTATCGTACATTATATAACGTGACATGTCATAGAGAAGTGTAATGTAAGAGCAACATCAGGGCAAGGCTGACACGTTTAGGGTTTAGGCTTTACGGGTTAGGGTTAGGTCTAGGGTTTAGGATTTGGTGCCTTGGGCGTTTAGAGTTTGGAGCAATACCTGTCTAGTAGTAACAGAGCAGCATTGTGTGATGTTCTTCGTGATCATCTTCGCTCGTACAACTTAAGGTCCAAATCCATCGCTTGAATTGCTCAACCCGAAACCCCCAATTGCCCTCTATGCTTTCAGGCAGCCTCCTTGCTTAACTATTGCAAAACATCCTACCATCGCCATAACGAACAAGGAACTGCGATCTGTCGATTCGTCCATCGCCAAGGCACGTGTCAAATTGACCGTTGTAATACTTGGCAGGAGGCTTTTGGTGCTGACAGTATTACCCTAGGGGTCCAAAGGACCCAATAATTGGGTATACGGTTTTAGGATAGTAGTTATGTAGGTTAGGATTTTGGAGAGTATATGATTCTGAGGTACTTGGACCCTTGGGGTTACACCCCAGAGCTTAAAGCGAAAACCCCAAACCCTAACCCCCTAAGCCCTAAACCTGGAACCCTGTAGCCTAAACCATAATCCCTAAGCCCAAATCCCTAATCCCTCAACCCTCAATCCCAACTCAATCCTAAACCCTACATTCTTAAACCCTAAGCCCCTCAACCCTAAACTCTAAACTCTAAGCCCTAAACCCTAAACCCTAAAGCCCAGAGGCTCCCTCAACATTGGAGATTTCCATTCGCAAGCAGACGAAAAAGAGCCCCCAACCACAAAAAAACAAAACTAAAGCCTAAAGCCTAAACCTCAGACCCGAAACAGCTCGGGTGCAGGGTCGGGGCTTTCAGAGAAGATTCATCATGTCTTGGGTTCCTCGCATACGGTTCCGTGGGCTTAGGGTTTAAGAATGTAGGGTTGAGGGTTGGGGGGCGTCGGATTCAGGAGTTTAGGGTTTAGGGTTTTGGGGTTTAGGGCTTAGAGTTTAGAGTTTAGGGTTGAGGGGCTTAGGGTTTAAGAATGTAGGGTTTCGGGTTATGGCGGATTTTTTTTACCTGTCTTGTTCATCTCACTGGATTTGCCTCACTTTGGACCTTGTGCATAGATTCTTTTTCAAGCAATACGTACATATTACGCTCGGTACATCTAAACCCTTTCCACGGTCTGGTGCGTTTTTGCATTGTCTGGTCTCTCTATAGCTTGAGGACTCTTCCTGAACATTTCTGATTCTGTAAGCCTTCGGCAAAAACCCTAAAACTGTGCAAGTGTTGGGCTACCAGCTCTACCAAGCCCCCGAAGTGCAGGAAGACTACTACGATGCCTCCACGAACACCTGGGACATGCAGGGCATGCAAGAAGCCCCATGATCGAATTTGTGGGCTTGTCAAGCTTGGCGCCATTTGCAGTTTGTTTGCTTCTATCTGTAGAACTAAGCAAGCTAAGTGCCGATGATATCAGTTTATGTTTGTATGCATGCACGCGTGCATGTATGTATGTACGTGGAAGACATAATTATATATATATATATATACATATGTATATATATATATATATATATATATATATATATATTTATAATATATATATATATATATATATATAGAGAGAGAGAGAGAGAGAGAGAGAGAGAGAATCAAGTATACATATACGGTTGAGCTGCCTGAATTTCGGCAGAAATTCCAACAGAGCTCGGATTCTTAGACCCCTAAATCCCTAAGCCATAAAACCCTCAACCCTAAACTCTAAACCCTCAACCCTAAACCCAACATTCACGCGCTTGCGGCTGAACAACGCCGTTTGTGCACCCATGCAACGCAGAGAATCCCGGAAACCTCGCCTAAGCACCAAAACCTGAGACCTGAACACCCCTTTGAAGCCAAGAAACAAAGCCGGGAAGTCCGAACTCTAGAATCCCACTGTTGATGCCAGGGGTACCGTCAAAGGGATCTATAAGGCTACCTTTAAGGGCTCTTTAAGGGATCTATAATGGGGTTTTAGGGTTTAGGGTTTAGGGATTGATATGTAAATCGTGCATTACAGACAATACGGGAATATACCATCAATTTCCCATAGTCTATTACATGCTCATTAAGGTAATGCAGGGTTTATATCATCAACCGTAGTAGCAGTGTAGGTAACCTTTGATCTTTTTAAGGGTACTTTAATTATCATATAGTCCCAATGTACTGCCACCGGTTAACCATCAGTTTTCCAGGATACTCGACACGTAGGACTCAGCTGGCAGAACTTGTGTAGGGCCTTGGGGTAGACTCTAAGAGCAGTGAAGTTTTGTAGGGTTCCTAACATTTTGATAACTCGAGCGGTTTTAATCGTCGACACAAGAATATTCCCCATGACCGGCCTTATGATTCAGTCGTAGGGGTAATCGTACTGCTAATTCTCACAACCATGTGTGTGCGTACACACACACACATATATATATATATATATATATATACATATATATATATATATATATATATGTGTATATAGGGTGTATATATATACAGATGTGTATATATATATATATATACACAGATGTTGGTTATGTGTCATGTCGTTCTTGAAACTTAAGTTTTAGTGCGGGGCGTAGGCTTGTCAGTTTGGGGATTGTGTCGGCTTCAGCCTTCGACGTTGGAAGCTCGGGGTCGCTGGTGGACTAGGGTTTCAGGAGGGTTGGCGCTGGCCTCACCAAATAGGAGTTTCCGAAAATTAGGGGTACCTTTCTTTGGGGTCCTTATAATGAGGATCCTACTATTTATGGGTACTATATCAGGGTCCCCCATTTTCGGGAACTTCCAAATCTTCACGGCTGCCCCTACACCCGAACACGCTCCAAGTTGGGCTTCAACCAAGCCGAAAATGCATGTTTTCAAGGCGTCGGGATAGTCAACCCGAAATCCTTGAATGGGGGTGGGGGAGTGGCCCCGCTTAGGTGGGGTGTTTGTCCCGATTCAGCAGCAACCCACCATCTGCTCAAATTGAGTTCCGGGGGGTTGTCAAAATTCTGCTCCCTTTTTGGGTCCCTCATATAGTACGGCACCTAATATTTAGGGTGCCGAAACATGAGACCATAATTTTGACAACCACCTAAATGCATGTTCCGAGGCCTGTTAAACGCATTCGGCCCACAATTCAGCAATCTTGTGTCCAATGCCTTCCGGCAATATAATGTGAACCCAACGACAGCCATTCCGCTACTGGGATGCTCCATGGGATGATGTTTTGGGATTCTCCTGGTCGGTGGAGATTTTCTGTGATTAATCGAACTTCCTAGCCCAGCTAGTCGCAAACGCCAACCTTACCCCAAAACCCTAAGCCCTGGAACTTCGAGCCCTGAACCCCAAAGCCTGTAGAATCCTTGTACCAGCTTTTCGCTTTTAGGATCTGCTCCTCATGGGACAGCAGGAAAAGCAGGACCCGGAAGGCAGGTTCAGGGAATCTATTTTGGGGTTTAGGATTTTGTTTTAGGGTTTAGGGTTTAGAGATTGTTTTAGGGATCAGGGCTTAAGAAAAATTCTTAGAGGTTCGGTCGGTTCCTGGCAACCGCATCTCTGCAGACATAGGAGACTTGTAATTGGGGGTTCTGCTACGGTTACGAGTAGGCTACAAGCGTCCGCGAGTAACCTTCAATCCACAAACCCTACAGGAGGCAAAACCTTGTAAATCTGCATGAGGATGGGTGTAGGGTTTAGGGTTTTAGGGCCCTGTAGATCCGCAAGAGGGCGTTTTAAAGTCCGGTATTTTCAATTTCAGGGTATGCTCAGTCAGATTTTCCACATTCGGTGCCAGCGTCAGCAACTCCGTCTCCAATGTGCCGATTAGTTTGCACAGCTCTGGGTCATGGGTGACATCTGGGTTAGGGGCTACCTGGAACCCAAAACAATCTACTTTTTCAGGGAGTGGGCGAAGAAGAGGGATGTGGCCGTGGATGCAATTCCACGCTTGCCCGACACCTGTCACGATCACGGAGTCGACCATATCTGTTGCGATATGAATGAGGGTGTCGCTCTGCCGCCGTTCGAGGCCATTACAGAGCTTTCCCGGGAACATGGGGTCGCCTTGGATTTTTCACATGAGTCGTGCTGTACGGTCAAGCACCTGATAATCAAGGAATGTTCGCAAACTCTGCTCGCCTGGAAACCTTCAAGTGCGGATCCTGCGTTTTGCTTTTAGGAATGCAATGACCCGTAATGGAGGTCTATATGTAGCAAAGCAGTATGGTTCCCTTATTTTGGTAACTTGACTTGTTTAAGTTACTGCAATAAGGAAGCCACATTTTTCGTACTATTGGATTATGTTCCTCAAGATCCTTCAGCGTCGTACCTTTCTTTCCAGCATTAGTTGTCCCGCACAGCCCTAAACACACCAAAAGTCGTGAAGACACCGCAACACATTAAAAGCTGCGCAGCAAGCCCCAAACCCCAAACCGTGAAAGCCCTTAAGGTAAAAGCCAGAAATTTGGAATATGATTATCCTAACCCTTCTATGGTAAATTATAGGGTATCCTACCATGAAACCATATTCCAACTTTCTGGAGTTTCCTATAAACCCTAAACCCTAAACCCTAAACCCTAAACCCTAAACCCTAAGCCCTAAACCCTAAACCCTAAACCCTACTTTCTGGAGTTCCCTGTACTACATTTCAAAACCCCGGTAGCCCCAGTGACTTCCTAAGGCCCTAGGCAGTCCTCTTGGGGTTCAGGGTTTAAGGTTTCGGGCTCATGTGCTCAGATTTAGAGCATAGGATCGAGGCTTTGGTGTTTATGGCCACCTAAGGCCCTAGGCAGTCCCCTTGGGGTTCAGGATTTAAGGTTTCGGGCTCATGTGCTCAGATTTGGAGCATAGGATCGAGGCTTTGGTGTTTATGGCCACCTAAGGCCCTAGGCAGTCCCCTTGGGGTTCAGGATTTAAGGTTTCGGGCTCATGTGCTCAGATTTGGAGCATAGGATCGAGGCTTTGGTGTTTATGGCCACCTAAGGCCCTAGGCAGTCCCCTTGGGGTTCAGGATTTAAGGTTTCGGGCTCATGTGCTCAGATTTGGAGCATAGGATCGAGGCTTTGGTGTTTATGGCCACCTAAGGCCCTAGGCAGGCCCCTTGGGGTTCAGGATTTAAGGTTTCGGGCTCATGTCTTCAGATCTAGAGCATAGGATTGAGGTTTTCGTGTTTATGGCCAAAGCTCTCGAAAGACTAAAGAGAACATCTCGAGGCATTTTCAGAGAGCTTCAACAATTTGCGCCGGGAGCGCTTCGGGAAGACTACTTCTCCGAGGACTGGCGAATGTTGCAGCGTAGGGCTTTGGGATGGGTTTGGGGTTTAGGGTTCAGGGTTTTTGGGAGTGGGCGTAAATAGTTACGAGTATTTGTTATGCTTGATTGGTTCCTTGTACCCTAAACCCGAAGCCCGAACCGTTATGGTATAGTATACCTTTCTGACTTTATCCTTGATCGGTTCCTTATATAATAGTTCTGCTACCCCAGAACCCTGCTCTTAGCCTTGACGGCATGAAAGTTTGTTTATTACCGTAAAACCCTAAATGGAGCCCAAAGGCCAGATTTTTACTTAAAAGATCGTTTAGGGTTTAGAGTTTAGGGTCACAAGGTCATAAGTAGTGTTATGCCTAAGGTAGCTGTAGCTCTCTTGGTTCAAGGGTTAGGGGTTGATAACCTCGCTTGAGGTATTCAGAAACTTAGTTGTTAACCTTAACCCTAAACCTTAAACGCTAAACTCCCGAGTAGGCTTCGGAGCTTGCTGATGACAATTTGGAATGTAAAGCTTCTCATTTCTCGAGGCCTGGGGTTTCGGGTTGGGGGTTTAGTGGTTTAGGGATGGGTTTGGGGTTTCGTAATTCTCGAGGACTGAGGAAGGCATTGGGTTTTCAGACAATTTTCCGAAGCAGCTGGTAGATTGTCCGCTGGTTCGTGGAAGGGTTTCGTATGCGGTTGGGGCTTTGAAGCTTGTCAACTGGCTTTCTACCTGACCCCATGCACATACACAACTGATACTTCGAAAAGATGCATACTCACAATTTTAACTTCTGAATATGGAACCCTGAACCCTCAACCCTACCTCCTACACCCTTTACCCTACCTTCTTCTAGGCAGGTACTTGGGGCCGTTTGGCCGTTGGGGTTGTCAACAAGGACATCAGCAATATTACTCCCGTACAGTCCTCAGTATAACTCTATTGTGCTACACTTCAGAATCTTCAGAACTCTAGTCTGATATTGTAGGGCTTCGTGCTTCAGACCTTATAAAGCACCCTAACGCTCCTTCACCAAATGGGAGTTTCCGAAAATAATGGACCCTAATGTAGTACCCTAAATAGTAAGAGCCTTATCATACGGACCCCAAAATCAGGTACCCTCAATTTTTGGAAACTCCCAAATCCAGAAGAAGATGCGCGCATAGAAAGCCGCCGGCTAGCCGCTGTGGAGCAGACCGAAATGGCAGAAAGCGGGTGGATGCAGAGATGATACTTTGGGATCATGGGACTTAGTAAGTAGGGTTATGTGTATGTTAATCGGCTTAAAGATATCACCAGTGGTTACCTTACTTATAAACCCAGTTACTAAGTCCCATGATCCTCTAAGTAAAGAAACAGCTGATCATCTCGTCAGACGAGGAGGATTCAAAGGAGCAGATCATGGCATTCCGCTCCTGTGTCACGGAGTTCCAGTTGACCAAGGCTAAAGCCGACGCTGTGGAGAACTTGCTTCCCCTAAGGGTCCTGTGTAGTGTCAGCGGGGGATACTTCCCTAAACATAAGACTAACTCCTAATCTAGAAACTCTGCATTCTACTACAAAGGTACTTAGGACCCTTTGGGTTCTTTACTTGCCTCCGCCAAAAGCAGCTTACACGCTCAACAAGCTCGCGGCTTCGTATGGCATGGCCAGAGGCCCCATTACCCGTGGCGGCCGTGAAGCGAAGCATTGCGAATGGGGTTCAGTCCAAAGCTGGATGTCGACTTTTACTACGTAGACAAGATGCTAAACAACGAAGAGACTGTCGGGTTGATTTGAGCGGATCATTCACGATTACAACAACTCTCTAGCCGGCATGCGCACCAGCGCTGGAGATGAGACCGTGCAAGACCAGCAGAAAATCTGCAGGATGTTCCTGCTACATGTTCAGCCCCTGTCCTCACAGCTTCCCGAATCAGTGTTCTCATAAACCCCTTCTAGAACCCCCATAGAAACCTTACAATCAAGGAATACCCTTCAATCATACTAATGATCCCCGTTATGATTTCAGGAACATTCCTTGCTCACGGATTTTCGGGTCTTTGGGCCGGTCTAGCTCGCACAAAGCCTTGGAGGAGTAGACTTCAGCTCAGGGCTTCCCAGAGTGTCCAACGCCCCTAAGTCGGGAATCAACCGTACATGATACGTGTCGAAGCAATGTGGCTTACTTGGTTCTTGTTAGGGGACTTGGTTTAAGTTCCCGCAATAAGGAAACCATGTCATTTACTATAGATCCCGATTATGGTAACTTGTTTTAAATCCGTCAACAAGAACCCAGTTTAGGGTTTAGCGTTTAGGATCCAGGGCTTAGGGGTTTAGGGCTTGGGGTATATGGTTTAAGGCCGAAGTACAAACCACAAATGGAGGGTAAAGTGCACTCCATAAGTTAAGGTGCTTTGGGCTCCGAACAGTAAACCTCTTCAACCCTTGTGCATATAAGCACGTGCATCAACATGACAGACCCCAAAGTCCTAAACGCCCAGCTCTGAACCTCTTAGGTTCCTTGCAAAACTGTCCAATACACACACGGGGGCACTTTCTATTCTTAGTTAACTGGGCATCCTGGGATATCGCATAGAGGCCCTCAAAATCCGAGTCGACTTGTTTAGTCAGGCCCCCAGTACACTATAAACCGCGATGAAGACTACATACCTTCTAGTAGCTACAAAGCCCCTTTAACACTGAGCCCTGAACCTAAACCCAACCCTACAACCCTAACCGTATATGTGCAAAGCCCAAACCCCAAAACCCCTAAACCCCTAAACCCCGAACCCCTAACAACCCTAAACCCGTAAACCCCTAACAACCCTACAGGGAACTCCAGAAAGTTGGAATATGGTTTCATGGTAGGATACCCTATAATTTACCATAGAAGGGTTAGGATAATCATATTCCAACTTTCTGGCTTCTACTGTAAACCCCTAGAAGCCCCCTTTTTTGCCAGGCGACGCAAGATTGGGACCTCGAGGGACTCCAGGAGGATCTCCGCATCTCCCGTGCCCTGGCGACCTGTGGGCTTTTAAGGCTTCTAAGGGATCCTTACAAAGTAGCCATAAAAGGGTACTATAGGGGGATGCATGAAAGTGTTTAGGGTTTTGGGTTTAGGGGTTGAGTGTTTAGGGTTTAGGGTCTGAGTCTAGGGACAGTAGAAGCCCAAAAGTTGCAAACCCAATAGCCTAAGTCCTTAAGAGCAATATATGGGGAATCCCAGCACTGTTTGGCCTAAATCCGGTGTCCAACTTTATGCGGCTTGCTGTAGGGGGATCCCTTAAAGGGTTTAGGGTTGATCCTTACAGGGCTCCTTCAAGAAGTCATAGATGGGTTCCGACTGGTTCTACAATGGCTCCTTCAGAAAGTTCTAGAAGGATTCCCTTTACCAGGTTTTGGTTCCTGAAAGGGTTTTAGAATTTTAGGGTTTAGGGCTCCTTTTGATTCTGATGAGCTCTATAACCTTTAAACGGATCATGGGTTAAAGGATCCTTTCACTTCTTCAAGGTTTAGGATTTGGGGTTTAGGGGCCAGGCTTTCGGTGCAGGGTTTGGAGGTTTGGGGCACAGGATTCGCTGTAGGGTTTCAGGCTACACGTTTAGAGAATCTAGTGGGGTTGGGGTTTAGGGTTTAAGGTTTATACCCCCTCATCCCTATAGGGTCCAAAGTTGCGCTAGGGAGCTACACTGTATCCTAAAATCCAGAACTCCTGACCCTAACCACCACGATAAGGCTGCAGGGCTTTTGTGCTGTTGCGCTCGTGTGGCTTGTAAGCGTCATTCAGGGGTTCAGCACCAAACTCTAATCCCTAAGTCCTAAACCATTACAGTAACCTTAAACCCCGAAACCCAAGCAGAGTGACCTCCGCCTTCGGAAAACGGTCCTCAAAAAATCCTGAAAAAAACAGCCCCTAGGATGCCCAGTAGTACCCTTATTCCCTTTTTGTAGTCCTAGGTTCCTTATAAAGTTACCCAATACCAAAAAGAGAGGCCTTTTTATTCTTAGGTTACTGGGTATCCTAGGCCCTAAACGCCTAAACCTGTTAGAAGGATTTCGGACGCCAGCCCTTGCCAGGTGCGCAGCATCCCGTGTTCCCATCATAGCCGGCAGCCAACTACCTGGAGGTTTAGGCCCGGGCCCGTAAAGGAACCCAGAAACGAAAACGAAATACCCTGCATTCGTACGGCCATATAAGACGTGAGACCGCTGCTGTGAAGGTTTCGGGTGTACCTAGACCCCCCAACTACCCTCTAATATACCCCAAATACCCACTATTAAGGACCATATGGCATCCATTAAAGGGCCATTGGGGGGTCCTGGTAGGATTTAGGGTTTAGGGTTAACGCTTGAGGGTGAAGGGCCTGGGTTCACGATTACTTAACGAATTTCGAGACTTAGCAACTAGCGTATGGTGAACTTTTAAATCCAATTCAGAAGTTCACTGGATTTCGCCACTGATCCTTTAGTAAGCTTGTTGCAATATTCAGAAGTCATAGTTTAATGCTTCGGGGTTTTATGATTGGTCTTTTAAAGCTTTGAAGCGATTGTAGGGGGTTTGAGATAGGGTCTCAAACCAGGATTTGGGCATGTTGGGTGTGCGTCTGGTGTTTTGCTCTGACATCCGACACAGACCCTAAACCCTAAATCCTGCTTGATAGCGGCATTTCTGCCAGCACCTCTGGTGCTTCCATCCCTCCAGACCAAAAGCCCGCAAACCCGAATCAAGCAGGTCCCAATTCCGTTCACGAGTTAGTTTATGCGCTTAGGGTTCAGGGTATGGGGTTCGGGCAAAATCGACAGAGTAAACCCATGTGCCAGACTCGACAACGCATCTTCAATCATAGATAGAGTAATGGGTTGAGGGGCGGAGCTGAGGGTTTAGGGTTTAGGGGTTCTCCGGTATTTCGGGGTTAGGGATTTGGCGTTTTGTTGGGCTAGGGCTTCACATACAAACATCTTATGAGTCCTGAGTACAAACTTGCAAAGCCCTTGTAAAATTCCACAAAATCCGTTTCAGTAAACCCTGACAAAACCCCATGCCCGAAACTCTAAGCCCTTGAACCCAAAGCCCTTGAAACCCAAACCCTGAACTCCCTAAACCCTGAAGCCTGGACCTTAAGCCCTAAAACCTAAACCCTAATCCCGAAACCCTGAAGCCTTAAGCCCTTATTAAACCCTAAACCCTAGACCTAAACCCTACGCCCTAAAGCTCTTCAGCCTAGACCTCCTGGGTCTGCAGGATGCCAGTGAGCGTAGAAGCAGAGAGGAACTTCCCAACGCAACGGGAGATGTTCCGGACAAGCCCCCCTTGGGGTGCATGCTGTAGTATTCATAATAGCAGTAGTAGCAGTGGTAGTAGTAGTAGTAGTAGTAGTAGTAGTAGTAGTAGTAGTAGTAGTAGTAGTAGTAGTAGTAGTAGTAGTAGTAGTAGTAGTAGTAGGTAGTAGTAGTAGTGGGTTTAGGAGGACTCGTATAGCCCCATGATTCTAAAGGCCTTTTAGCATTGAGATCCCAACTGCAGTCCTTAGACCCATGATTTTGAAAGGCCTTTAAATTTAGCATTGAGATCCCACTTAAAGTCCTCACTGAGCTACATAGGGAGAGGGGTTTATTCATCAGTGGTCTGCCTTTAAGCTCATTCGTAGGTAGAGGTTCGGACAAGTACAGTATTTAGTCTGTTTAGTAAACGGTGTTCGGATATCGGTTTCGGTTTAGGGCTCATGCGATAGGTAACTATAGCTGCAGCCAGTCATGGTTTAAAGGCCTTAACTCGGTAAGCATCCTAAAGCTTTAAACGGTTTAGGGTTTTGGGTTTAGCTAACACCCAACCCTACTACCCAGAGACTCCAATATCCCGTAATTAAGGAATATTCCTTAAATCGTGAAAGGGATCCTGCTATAATTTAAGGTATATTCCTTAATTAGGGATATTGTAGTCTCTGGGTACCCGAAGACTCCAAATAGCCCAAAGGAGGTAGTATTTGTAGACTTTAGAGCCCAAAAGTAGCTACTATTTGTATACTTGGAGTCTTAGGGTTAAACACAATGAGCAGGGACCCTTGTTGACCTCTAAGCGCCCTATTTGGGGAGCCGGGATTTTTGAGCGTATTGTTCATAGCCTACTTACATGTCTATCAATGTTCAAGACAACCCCAGGCCATGAAGACCTTGAGGTTTAAGTCCAAGACCCTGAAACTCTAAGCCCTTAAAAACCTGAACCTTAAGGCCAACGTCTCTTCGAGAATTAGAGAAGCCCTACAAGACCACTTCAGCACCTCACCACAGCCCTAGACCCTAAATCCCTTCTAACACCCACAATAAACCCTAAACTTTAAACCTCAACCTAACCCCTTATAGATCTCTTATAGAGCCCTTTAAGGAACCCCTCAAGGATCCTTCTTAACCCCTAAATCCTAAACTTTAAACCTCATCTAGGATGCCCAGTAGTACCCTTATTCCCTTTTTGTAGCCCTAGGTTCCTTATAAAGTTACCCAATACCAAAAGAGAGGCCTTTTTATTCTTAGGTTACTGGGTATCCTAGTCATATAGCACCCACTACTTGTCGTCTTCGTCTTTGTTGCCGGCCTCCTGGTGCGTTGGTTCCGCGTCCTTCGACGAACCCCTAGCGACCGAGCGAAAGTGCCAAAAAGGAGCCTACCCCAAGGGTCCAAAGGACCCAGTAATTATTATACTCGGGTTTAGGATAGTAGTTATGTACGTTAGGATTTTGGAGATTCTATGATTATTAGGTACTTGGACCCGTGGGGTTAGGGTTCAGGGCTCAGGGTTTAACACTTGAGCCCTACATATACTTGTAGTCTCCATTGTAGTTTCTTGTTTTGGTGAACCTACTTTATCTTGTAGGATCTTAGCCTTGCTTTAAAATGCGTGAATAAAACCAGGGAACTACACTGGAGACTATAGGTAACCCCTCAGCCCTAAACCCTACACTCGAAGCTTTTCTTGACACTGCATGGTGGAGCTTTTGCTGTGTTAGGGTTCTGCTGCGGTTTCAAGAAAACCCTATGCTCTAAGCCCAAACCCGAAACTTAAAAAGTAAACCTAGTACCCCACTAAATGTATCTAGCCACAACAGAAGGAGTCGAGCTTTGCTGCCCAGGATTTGGGGTTTGGGGCTTGCGGCTTTCGGGGTGTCAGGGTTTGAGTGCTTCAAAGCTGAGGTCGTACGTGGATGATTTAAATCCTGCAGTACCCAAAACAAGGAATATACCATAATTCCCATCGTCTAGGGCCATTAAGGTAATGCATGTGACTTTCTGGAGCTTTGAGACGTTTAGTTCTGCGGGCTTGATGGTTTTACATTTGTACTTGGGGTTAGGGGTTATCGGCTTCTGCTGCTACTACTACTACTACTACTACTACTACTACTCCTGCTGCTACTGCTCCTGCTCCTGCTCCTGCTCCCCTGCTGCTGCTCCTGCTCCTGCTCCTGCTCCTGCTCCTGCTCCTGCTCCTGCTCCTGCTCCTGCTGCTGCTACTGCTACTGCTACAGCTACTGCTACTGCTACTGCTACCGCTACCGCTACTGCTACTGCTATTGCTACTGCTACTGCTGCTGCTACTGCTGCTGCTGCTGCTGCAGCTGCTGCTGCTGCTTCTGCTATTGCTACTCCTCCTGCTGCTGCTACTACTACTACTGCTTCTTGCTACTTCGACGACGACGACAACTACATATGCTAGTGCTGTGCCTGTCTGGCTATCACGACTTGGCACGTGCAGGATGACTGCCAATCTTAGGTTATTTTACAGTCCTGTAGTTGTTGTTTCTTATGTTGCTTTCCTAAGTTCATCGGTCATGACATCGTCTACAAGCCTGGGACACTATGTTCTGCAGTTCTGAGGGCAGGCATCAAGCTTGTGCTCCTCTCCGGTTTCGGGCATCTTTCAGATACATGTCTGCGGTCCTTTATCTGAACATTCAGGATTTCGCCTGCAGTCTCGCTGTTTCAATGTCGAGGTTTGTGCTAGTTATAGTTTTTCTACTTCTTTCCGCTAACCCCAAGGGGCCAAGTACCTAATATTCATAGACTCTCCAAAATCCTAACCTACATGATTGCTATCCTAACCCGAGTACCGAATTATTGGGTCCTTTGGACCCTTGGGGTTATTGTTACTTACTTACTTCTGCGGTGCTCAGGCCGCAAACGCCTCCTGCCGGCCATTGACACAGAAGCTCACCGGCTGGAATGTGAAGTTGCGGGTGCCCAACCCCCTGGTGTGAACCCTGCACGAAACCCTGAAATCAACCCCCAACCGGATAGTTATAAGCCGCAAACGGACAAGCTTCGCCCCCCCGGGAGACGCTACTGTATGCGGCGGGAGTCGCCAAGCTGTAAAAGCGCACTTCGAAAAGCACCCTATCCTTCCCGACCTCCTCACCCAGTTAAAAAGCCGAACCCTGACCTCAGAAAACTGACATCCTAAGCCCAGCACCGTGCACTCTTAAACCTTTGCAGGACCCTTAGTAGAAGAACTTTGTAATAACCGCATAGCATATTTTCGAACCTCAGTAAATGCTCAATAGAGCCGCTATAAGACTGTTTGCACACTCTTGAACCCTCAGCCCACTGTAGTATATCATTTTTCGACCCCTGGTCGACCCCTCTATACCCTAAACCCAACACCCGTTTTAAGGAATCATTAAAGGAGCCCTTAAAGGAACCCCTTAAAGGAACTCCTTGAAGGAGCCCCTTCAAGGAGCCTTTAAAGGAACCCTCAAAGGACCCCTTGGGCCCTTAAACTACTTAAAGGATCATGGGACTTAGTAAACAGGTTATAATTGGGGTTATAAGTCCCCTAAGTGGGGTTATCCTAATTATAACCTACTTATAACCTTACTTACTAAGTCCCATGAGCCTTTAAGTAGCCCCAAAACCCGAGGCTCTTCCCTAAACCCTAAACCCTTAAACAAACTTTCGGGCCCTTAAACTGTCCCCAAAATCCGAGGCTCTTCTGCGAACGACCGGATGGACGCACAGCTGAACTTTCAGGGGCAGCCCAAGGTTTCAGGGTTTACTTAGGGGTACCTAGAACTAATTTTTGGTTTTTTGCTTATTATAATCCCTAAGAAACAGCTAAAAT